GAATGGCTTTTATCATAAAGTCCTAAAACAACAAATGTTGTTGTGGATGTGGAGAGATAGGAACAGTCATATACTCCTGGTGGGATGAACTGCAAACTAGTATAAACCTCTATGGAAACTAGTATGGATACCTCAAAGAACTAAAAGTAGACCTGCCATTTGATCCAGCTATCCCACTACTGGGTATTTACTCACAGGAAAGAAAGACATTCTATAAAAAAGATACCCGCACTGGAATCCGCATTCTATAAAAAAGATATCCGCAGCATAATTCACAATCATAAAGATGTGGAAGCAACCCAGGTATCCATCAATACATGAGTGAATTAATAAAATGGGGTATATTTATTCTTCGGAGTACTACTCAGCCATAAAAAATGGCAAACTACCTCTTATACTATCCTGGATGGAGCCAGTCATTTTTTAAGAAGACTTTTATTGTTTTGTTTTTTTTAAAGAATATATAGATAGCCTTACTCAGTGTGTCTTTCTTTCTTACTGTTTTTCAAAAGAATCACCAAGAAAAAGTGCCAAGGCATTATTACTGCACAGTGACCAGAATTAGGGAGAGAGCAGCTTATTTAAAAAAAAAAAAAAAAAAAGTATTATGAATGCTAAAATACATGAGTCAAGAGAACCTGGGTCCAGTTTTACTCTGCCCTATGGTTTAATCTTTGGAGCAAGGCTTTATCCAAAATGTCCATACATAGGTGGTACAGAAAACAAATAAGTTTTTTGAGGGGCTTATGAATAATTGATTATATAGCACATCAAAAATAGAATTGAACTATTATCACCACACTATCTCTGCATTTTTACTCTGTTTGTTAGGTACTATGCCAAAATTGTTTTTTTCTCCTCTCTCTTTCATATTCTCTCTCTCTCTGTCTCTCTGTCCCTCTCTGGGATGAGCTTAAATATTATGTGAAAACTATGAATCATGTCTTGACATTCATTAACTTAATCAACTTTTATTAAATGAGGCAATTTTATAGATATTGGATATATAAAGATGAGTAACACATGGTCTCCACCCTTAAAGAAATTACTGTTTAGAAAGATGAGATAGAGATATATGCTAAAAGTATTATATATGGACAACAACAATTAGGCAAAAAGGAGGGGGAATAGTCAGTTCTCCTTTGGGTTGTAGGAATGCCTGAAAAAGTTTATTAGAATGGGTGATTTTTTGAGAAGAAATGTTCATTTCGTAGATGGGGATAGACTGGACATGGTGGGGAGGATGCTCAGTCTGTTCAGGAGCATCATTGCTTAGTGCCATGGATGAATGAAACATCATGACACTACTGTGAGTAGCTTGGTATAGATGATCTGAAGGATGTGTATGGAAGAGTGGGAGGAGATGGTGCTAAAGAGGTAGTCATGGGAGGTTGAACTTTATCCAGAAGATTTTTAAATGGCTAATTAATATTAACAAAATGTGGGAAGATTATCTGGCAAGTAGGAGGAGGCAAGATTCCAGGAAGAGCAATCAATTTGTAGATGTTAATCTAGCTGAAAATGACATGAGCACAGAGTGATTAAAAATCAAAATGGAAATTAGGAGACTGGAAGATGTAGAAGCAGTAAGACATGGGACTGATTTTATGTGTGTAGTAAAAGAGGGAAGAATCAGGATGATTCCCAGATAATCTGTGTTGAGAGCATATCAGAAAATGCCAGTGCTATTTGAGGGGAAGCTGGTTTAGAAGGAGTAATAATTAGTTTTGTGTTTAAATACATTGCATTTGAGCTGGTAAGAGATATCCAGAAGTGTTTTGTAGGTTTCTAGATCTGGAGATCCAAAAAAGGATTTATAGTCAAGATTTGAAAGTCATTAGGATTGAGTCAAGATTTGAAAGTCATCAGGATTGAATTGTTTGAATCTGTGGAAGCAGATATGATAATTTAGGAATTCAAGAAGAAAAGTGTCATGGACAAAGCATGAACATTTTGGGGGTGAGTCAAAAAGAAGACCTCTTGGTAAAGAAGACTAAGAAGAATGGTCTGAAAAGAATCTACAGAATTTGTCACTTAGATAGTTGCTATTGCTAATGGGGTTTCAGTGCTGTGTTAGGAGTGATATCTGACTTGCAGAATAATTCTGTATTGTATTTATGCATTGAATTATAGATTTAAATGTTTTATTAAAATTATGAAATAATTAAAAGATATATATAAACTTAGAGAATTAGATAACCAACTCTTATGTACCCACTAAACAGTTCTAAAAAAACTTTTCATATTTAAATAAATATAGACTCATAAAAAGTTACAAAAAAAATAGGGGAGCCGGCTGTTCATGTAGCCTTTACTCAGCTTCCTCCAGTTCAACTTAACAAACTGTGGACTTGTTCAAATGCTAATGTCTTGGGATAGATTATGGAACCATACAAGGATTCTAGGCGGGGCATGGTGGCTCGTATCTTCAATCCCAGCAAATTGGGAGGCTGAGGCAAAAGGGTCACTTGAGGCCAGGAGTTGGAGACCAAACATAGTGAGACCCCATCTTTAGAAAAAATAAAAAATTAGCAAGGCATAGTGATGCACACCTATGGTCCCAGCTACTCAGGAGGCTGAGGCAGGAGATCCCTTGAGCCCAGGAGTTGGAGGCTGGAGTGATCTATGATCATACCACTGCCCTCCAGCCCGGATGACAGCAACACTCTCTCTCAAAAGAAAAAGAAATTGGATTTTATATCCCTACTAAGTGTAAGCCTAGAGTTTTAATTCTCATGGCCACTTCCAGTGGCAGCAGGGTAGATGCAAGCGTCCTTGCTGCTTTTCAGTGTATATGGACGGAGCTTTTTCCCCTTATCATGTATGGAGCAGCCCTTTTCAGGATCATGGCTCAAAATAGGAATTTCACTTATAGTCCTCCCCTGAAATAGGCTCAAATTTGGGTCTTCTGTCTGTAATAAGTCCAATATACCCCTGTAGACTGCCTTGGTGTCAGCTGGAGCTTACATCTCTGGCCTTGAGTTCCTTCCTTTCTGGTACCTGGGAATTTCTCTCTCCCCCCCCCCTTTTGAGTTTTCAGCTGTATATTCTAATTTTTCATATTGATCTAGCATTCCAGTGATGTATTGTCCAGTCTGCCTTTGTTGCTTGAATCAGAAGTCCAGTAAATAATTTCTTTTTTTTCCTAATAAGTTATTTCTTAATTTTATTCTCTGTTCCACAGAAAAGGATTTGAGGTCCAATTATATTATTATTTCTTTAAAAATATTATTTATTTTTAAAATAGATAATACATGCATGTGACCTGAAAGTGAAAAGATTTAATAAAAAGGGTATACTTTTCCTTATTCCCTTGCCCACCTCACTCCAGTTTCTTTTTATAGATATAACCAATTACTGGTTTTGTATGTATCCTGGGAGATTGGCTATGCCTTAGTGTATGTATGTATGTATGTATGTATGTATATATATATGTTTGAGATACGGTCACACTCTGTCACCCTGGCTGGAGTGTAGTGGCATGATCCTAGCACTGCAACCTCAAACTCCTGGGCCACTATGCCTGGCCTGCTTTATTCTTTAGCAGCAGTTTTAAACTTTAACACATTGACTGCCACACTAGGACAAAAATTTTTTTCCTTGGGGTCACTGTGTTTTATTATAAACATAGAATAAAAAATTTCTAAAACAAAATGATCATTTCTCATTTAATGAAAAATTTATTATTTTTTATTGTTTTCTGTGCATGTATTATATATAATTAAGTTGTCAATATTAATTGTAACAATAAGAACATCGACAAGTAAGATTTTCATGAACCAACTGGCCCAGACTCAAAACTAGCATGAGTTAAATACAACTCACATGGCAGTTAATGTGTTAAAATAGTATTTATAATTTGTAGCCAGTATTCAGGATTTTTTCGTCTGTTTGATAAGTAGCAATTGTATTTTCTTCTGCTGTGAGTGCTTTTAAGTCAGAACTTTACGCTAGTTGTATGTTACATGTATGTTTATATATATATATGAATGGATTATCTGTTTTAATTTTTGTTAACAGACTCCTCAAAATATGACAGAATACTGGCTGGATGTGGTGGCTTATGCCTGTAGTCCTAGTACTTTGGGAGGCCAAGGTGAGAGGATCGCTTGAGGCCAAGAGTTTGAGACCAGGCTGGGCAACATACAGACTCCATCTCTACAAAAACTAAAAAAAATTAGCCAGATATAGTGGCATGCGCCTGTAGTTTGAGCTACTCAGGAGACTGAGGCAGAAGGATCACTTGAGCTGAGTTTGAGGTTGAAGTGAGCTATGAAAGCGCCACTGTACTCCAGCCAGGGCTATAGAGTGAGACCCTGTTTTCAGAAAAAAAAAAAAAAAAGTGACAGAATCTGACAAAATAATGTGAACTGTTGATTGGAATATTTTAAGTTATGTGGAATGTTAAAATAATGGAACATTAGCCCTAATTTTTATTATAATTTTTAATTGATACATAATTGTACATATTTATGGGATACAGTGCTATATTTCAATACATATATAGAATGTATAATGATCAAATCAGAGTAATTATAGAATATCCATTACCTCAAATATTTATCATTTTTTAGTGTTGGGAATAGTCAAAATCCTCTCTTAAAAATATGGAATGCTTCATGAATTCTCATGTCATCTTTGTGCAGGGGCCATACTAATCTTCTCTGTATTATTCCAATTTTGTTATATGCTGCTGAAGTGAGCACTGGCCCTAATTTTTTAGGAGGTAGTGGAAATGATATTTAAAGATACTAGAAATCTTACTCTGAAATGCATTGTGGATAGCCTTAAAAGTTGTCCTAATAACCAGTCCATGCTATTGCTTGCATATGTGCAAATAATTGCCCAAGAAGTTCAGAGAGTGTCAAAGATAAAGGCCTCTCTTTTGTGTTCCTTAGCCACACTTTATACCATAGATTGACTAACTGAGCTTGGTGTGAAATTCATTAACATGGTAGCAAGAAATGGAAGCCTATGACCTAATATGTTTTCTTCCTTAGATCAACCTCTCCACCTCTCCTACACCTGCACAGTTAATAAGCCGTTCCCAAGCTTCCAGTTCTACCAGCGGCAGTATTACCCAACAGACTATGTTACTAGGGAGTACCTCCCCTACCCTAACGGCAAGCCAAGCTCAAATGTATCTCCGAGCTCAAATGGTAAGATATGAGCTACCAAAATTTTTCAGTGTTTAAGGACTTGAGAAAACAAAATGTTTCTTGATTTGATGACATAAGAGGCATTTTTAATATTTAAGAAATGTTTTATTTTGTGTGTATGTGCTCAGCACTTATTACATTGCCTTTAAAAAATTCTACTTTTAATTAATAGGGCTTCTTGGTATTAAATATAATAGCAATTTTAAACATTGGGACTAATAGAGATTCTATAACATAAGAGTGTTTATTTTTTGATACTAAATTTCATCTATTTCCAAAGTTTTTTCACATTTTAATCTGAAATTGGAATGCATTTTGTAATTAACAGCACCTTGTAATTGGTACTTACAATGGTACATAAATTAACTGTATATTTTTGACAACTTAGATTTGATGAAATAGTTAGAAATGTTAAAAATTTAGTCGTTAACTATAAGTTAGAATTTATATCCTGGGATATTCTGAAATTTGGGTTGGAATTCCTGATAATTTCTCAGATGATTTTTAGCTTTGGTTATTCCCATCTCAAATTTTGTAAAGTTATTTGTATTCTTATGTTAATTTTGACCTTTTATTAGTATAGGAATATTAATTTGTTTATTCTGTTTTTGGGAACCTACTAATTTCCTAATTGTTGAGCTTCTTTAAGGAATGTAGAAATCGGTTGCATTTATTTTATTTGATGTCTTTATAGGAAGGTAGATAAAAGCTTTGGCCTTAATATATTTACTTATGTTCTTATTTGTCCAATGAACTGAATATATATATGGATCCCCAGTTCTCTAAGATTGCAAAGAAAGTTTCCAGTCATGTTTCTAATGGGAAATAATGATTGAATAAATTAATTCTATTGAATAATCTGTGGAAAAAAAGGTGACTCAATATTATGAGTCATAATATGCTCATAATATTGAGTCACCTTTTTTTCCACAGATTATTCAATAGAAATTACCATATTTCTGGATTTTTTTCTCTGGTGTTATTATATTTAACTAATAATATGCTTTAAAATTAGATTGATCCTTTGCCATGGTTGGGATTTGACCATTTTGGATCTCTAAAATCATTAGTTTCATATGGTTCAAATTAAATGGAATAGTTTCTGTTTAGGTTTAGTGCTTTCACAGTGTTTGTACTGGAAATTACTTTTTCATGAAAGTTATGCCAGTTGTCCCTTGGTATGGGGGGGTTGGTTCCAGAACATACACACTCCCCTGCCCAACATCCCTACACTTGAGGACACCCAAATCCGAAGATGATGAAGTCTCTTACAAGTAACATATGTGGTATTTGCGTATAACCTACGCATATCCTTCTATATACTTTAAATCATCTCTAGATTACTTTTAATATCTAATACAATGTAAATGGTTTTTAAGTAGTTGTTATACTGTATTGTTTAGGGAATAATAATAATAACAAAAAAAGTCTATACATGTTCAGTACAGACACATTTCTTTTCCCCCTGAATATTTTTTCGATCGATGGTTGGCTGAGTGTACTTTGTTGTTGAATTAATTCACTTAAAGTTAATATGCTAAAGAACTGAAGTTTAAAAGATCACTTAAATTTTGGATTCACAGAAAGTTACGGGGGGGAAAAAGTTAGTAAAGATCACCTAATTGATCATTTTAAGTTAAACAGCAATTAATAACTAAATACTCGATACAATTTTAAAATAGAGTATTTACACATTCTTTGAAACAACTGTCTGTTACTAAGTTGAGTTGAATAATCTGAGTGGATTGCATTTCCTTAGAAGTTAATGGCATTTGTCTCACTATTGAAAAAGAAATTGAAAGTGATGAGTAAATAAATTATGTGTTTTTTTATGTGACGCTTTTTTGCACGCTCTTTTGTTGTTGAATTTTGATACGTTGTGACATTTACATTTAGAATATTTCTTTAACAAATAGCTTTAAAATCAAGAGTAACCTGGGTTTGCCTTTTGTAGTTAAGTGAAATTTTGTAGTGTAGTATGTGGCAGTTATCCTTGTGGGAAAGAGGACTGAAAAGGCTTTTTGGTGTTTCTTTTTATGTTTTTCATTGAAATTTTAATTTGTGTCCCAAAATACTTACTATAGTCTATTTTAACTTTCCATTTTAGGAATCCTGCTGCAGTAGTTTTGAGCTAGGAAAAATTGAAGTATAATAGCTTATTTGGGACACAATTTGGTCTGAGGGTTTCTTTTTTATTATTATTTTTTAGTTTGAAGGAGAAGGGGAGTAAGAAAGGGGGTTTAAATTTCCTTTTTTTTTTTTGATACTGGGTCTCACTCTGTCATCCTGGGTAGAGTGCAGTGGCATTATCATAGCTCACTGCAAACTCACACTCCTGGGCTCAAGCCATCCTCCTACCTCCGCATCCTGGGTAGGTGAGATTACAGGCAGCACAGGACTACGCCTGGCTAATTTTAGTAGAAACGGGTTCTCACTCTTGCACTCAGAGTGCTCAGATTACAGGCCTGAGCCTCTGCACCTGGCCTGAGGATTTCATTTTACCAAAATATATTTTGTTTTTTGAGGACTGATTTATTTTTCTACTCATCAGAATCATGAGCTATTTTTAAAATGTTTAAAAAAATGTTTTTGATGTTTTTTGAGTTTTCTATTATCAGAAACTTCTCTTTGTTATGTAAAACCTTTCACTTAGGAGACAGTCCTAAACCATATTGTCTTTCTTTTTCTTTTTTTTAATGAAGGGTAGGGAGTGGAAGATGAAGTTCATTTTCTTTTGTCCTTTCCTTTCCTTTCCTTTCCTTTCCTTTCCTTTCCTTTCCTTTCCTTTCCTTTCCTTTCCTTTCCTTTCCTTTCACTCAGTTGCCCCTGGTAGAGTGCAGTGGTGTTATCATAGCTCACTGCAAACTTACATTCCTGGGCTCAAGTGCTCCTCCAGCTTCCCAAGTAGCTGGGACTACAGGCCGAGCCATGACGCCTACTAATATTTTCTATTTTTAGTTAGTAGAGAGGGGGTCACACACTTCTTCAGGCTGATCCCAAACTCCTGAGTTTAAGAAGTACTCCCACTTCTGCCTCCCAGAATGCTAGGATTACAGGCATGAACCACTGCACCCGGCCTGCATTGTCTTTCTGTCACAAATTTCAGTCTCTTTTGCCTGCTATACATTGTGTGTGGGACATGTTCTTTTGTCTTAGGGTATTTTTTTGGTTTTTTGTCTGTACAGCTGATTTTCACACCCGCTACCACTGTGGCTGCTGTACAGTCTGACATTCCTGTTGTCTCGTCGTCATCGTCATCTTCCTGTCAGTCTGCAGCTACTCAGGTGAGCTTGTCTAGCTTCATAACACGGTACTTGAGTCTGGATCTTTAGGTTAAAGATAAGCATTGCAATTGTATTTAAGTTACTGATGGTTTCAGTGTTCTTTGTCATGCATTTCAGATTGGAATTTAATAAAATACAAGGAGAACTTTACTAAAATGTTTTTGTTCTGTAGAAATTATAATACCATTAAACATGGATATTTAGGTTATTTGACATTGGTCAAAGTTAACTAGAGATCTTGCTAATGACATTGTGTGTTTAGTTTTATTGTAAAGCAGATTTATTTTTCTTCTTATGTGAGATGTATTTTTTATAGATTCCTTTGCAAGCAGTTATATAATAACCAAGTCAAAATGGATTTAAAGTTTGAATGTGAATTAAATTAGGCAAAGTTTAAATTTAAAAAATTGAGTAGGAAAAAAATACTTTATTTGGTACTATGGAAAAAACGAACCTTAACTTTCTCCTCACATCATTCACAATATTAAACTAGAAGTAGGCTATAGACCTAAAGGTAAAACTATAAAATTCCTAGAGGAAAACGTAGGAGAATATCTTTGCAACTCTAGGCAAAGGCAAAGTTTTCTTAGGGCACAAAATATGCTAATCATAAAAGAAAATGATGATAACTTGAACTTTATCAGAATTTAAAAATGTTCTTTAAAATACATGATTACAAAAATGAATAGGCAAGCCACAGAGGGAAAATGTTCATAATACACATATCTGACAAAAGACTTGCACCCAGAACATGGAAATTATGCTTACAACTCAGTAGGATCATAAACAGTTCAATTAAAAATGGGCAGATGATTTGAACAGACACTTCACAAAAGAATAGCACACGAAAAAGTGTTCAACATCATTATTTATTACAGAAATACAAGTCAAAACCACAATAAGTATCACTATACACTCACTAGAATGGCTGAAATGAGGAAGAATGATAATACGATATATTGGCAAAAATGTGGAACAACCAGACTTTCATATAGTACTGATGAGAGTGTAAAATGGTACAGCCACTTTGGAAAACAGTTTGGCAGTTCGTTATAAAGTTAAACAAACATACGCTTAACTTATGACCCAGCAGTTCTCCTATGCATTTATCCTGAGAGATGTGAAAACATACATCCACATACAGATGTGTAAGTGAATATTCATAGCTGCTGTATTCAGAATAGCCCCAAATTGGAAACAACCAAATGTTCTTTAACTGCTGAATGGGTAAACAAATTTTGATATATTCATATAGTAGAATACTGTTCAAAAATAAAAGAGAACAAACTACTAATGAATCTCAGAAACATGTTTAGCAAAAGAAGCTAGACATAAGTCTGTGGTTCTATTTATATGAAATTCTAGAATAGGCAAAGTATCCATAGTGAAAAAAATTAGATAAGTGGTAACTTGGACAGAAAGTGGGGGGGAGATTGATTGGGAAGGGGCATGAGTAAACTTATAGAGTGATGGAAATGTTCTGTATCTTAATTGGGGTGGTGATTATATCGTATATACGTATGTGAAAACTCATTGAACTGGTTCATTCATTTTATATAAGCTACACCTCAGTAAAGCTGATAACAGTGAATTCGGTTGAATAAATTTTAAATTAAAACAATTGAGTAGAATGTTATTTTACATGATACTACATTTTTTTTTTCACAGTAAATGTTTTAGATTGCAAATGGCAGAAATTGGTATATCTTAGGGTCCATCCTTGGCTTCTTATTTTTAATTTAATAATCTCAATCTTCTGGTAAAAATAAAAAAATGAGATAGTAATATTCCTTGGTATTTTTCATAGAACCTCAGTATATGTTACTTCATTTAATAATAAGGGTGAATAATAAAGGTATTAGTATATAAAGATGGTAGTCAGTTAAACTTAGGTTTCTTCTGACTTGCTCTGTGACCTTCTATAATTCCTTAACTTTATTAGACTTTTCTTTTCATATTTACAGAATGAGACCTTTTTTTTTTTTTTTTGAGACTGAGTCTCACTCTGTAGCCCTGGGCTAGAGTGCCGTGGCGTCAGCCTAGCTCACAGCAACCTCAATCTCCTGGCTCAAGCAATCCTTCTGCCTCAGCCTCCCAAGTAGCTGGGACTACAGGCATGCGCCACCATGCCCGGCTAATTTTTTATATATATATATTAGTTGGCCAATTAATTTCTTTCTATTTATAGTAGAGACGGGGTCTCGCTCTTGCTCAGGCTGGTTTCGAACTCCTGACCTTGAGCAGTCCGCCCGCCTCGGCCTCCTAGAGAGCTAGGATTACAGGCGTGAGCCACCATGCCCGGCCAGAATGAGACCTTTGTTTTAAGGTTTTTTCAACTCTAAACTTTTATAATGTCTCTTTGTGGAATGAATTTGTTGAAGTAATGGTCTTCCTGTTTTCTTTAGTTTTAGTTTTATAAAACCTAATAGAGTTAGACTATTAGACTATCATCAATTTCCAGAATAGTTTAAACTTTATTTTTTCATTTATACTTGACTTTGTTCCAACTAAGATTTTAGTTTACAAGATGCATACAATAAAAAATGGTAAAGTAAATTGAAAGCATGTAAGAAAAAAGCACAAATAAAACTAGGAAAGTGGCATGTACTTGGGAGTGAGATTGCTATTCAACTTACATGCATGAAGTCAGATATAGACTTTAAGTTCAACTCCCACTTGAGTAATTTATTAATTGTGTGACTTTAGACAAGTTACTAAACATCTCTAGTATTCATTCATATTGGTAGGATAAGTTGAATGAGTAGTATGTATGTTTAGTGATTACAACATTATAAGCACTCAGTAAGTAGTAGTATTTTTTTTTTTTTTTTTTACAAAGGCAGGGATAGGAAGACCTGGGTTCAAATTCTGACTTTGGCAACAACACTTGCCAGCTGATTGATTTTGGACAAGGTCATAGTATAGTGCTTATAAGTGTGGACTTAGGATCCAGACTATCTGGGTTCAAATACTTGCTCTACCATTTTCTTATTATACATCCTTAACCTCTCACCTCAGTTTCATCAATATACAATAAAACATTTATAAAATAATTATACTTCATAGAGTTGTTATGAGAATTAAATATGTTAATAAATGTAAAACAGAACAGTGTCTAGTAGATAGTACTCACTAAATGTTAGCTGTTATTATCCTTGCTAAGCCTCAGTTTCTTCTCTGTAAACTGGAAGTAACAGCTCAGAGCTATTATAAGGTATAAATGAGACAATAATCATAATGTACTTAACATAGTGCTTGCCACATAATAAGTTATCACATGCTACTGATTATTAATACTCCTTTAGTTATACATTGTCTGAAGATGTGTCACAAAGTTGGTTCTTAGCTTTCAAATAGCTAATAGTGAAGCAATTATTAGGATGAGTTTTCTCTCAAAAGTGAAGCTCTATGGAGGAAATCTGAATATGTGATCTTTATATTAATGGCTAACTAACTTTGTAATATGTAATTTTGGCAGTATAGTATACATGTTTGGAATTTATTTAAACCACTTAAAAGATTTACAGTTTCCAAAGTAAAACAAACCAGTTGGTTAGGAAAATACAACTATTTTTAACAATGTTCACTAGAGCACAATTTGTCATGTGGGTTCTAATGAAGAAAACATCTTACATCACCTTTAACAACATCTTTAATGTGAATGGAATTAAAGTAATTTGCAAAGTGTGCTTTGGGGTCCAGTTTGAGGTGTTCAAGGTATGTGGCTCTTTGATGGTCTGACTTAATTCAAGGATGGACTTTTGAGGAACCAACGGAATGGATTGAGCTTTAGGAATTTCTCTATGAATGTTGTTCTTCTTTGCTGTGCTCTTTAAATGGCAGTGAGTGAGGCTAGCAGTAGTAGGTGATGCTAATACTTTGTACATACTAGTGGTAAGTTTAATTTAGAAAAATTTCTGCTTTACTGTGTTGTTTATTAAAACCAGATTTGTGGTTTAAGAAAATTAATTTGTTAGTAATTGAGAAATATCAAATTTGAAGTTTTAATATTCTTTAAGCTATAGAAGTCAGTATAACAGTTGATTTTTCCTAAACATTTTTTATAGCATACTGTAAAAAAATAAGTTTGGAATAGCTCACCCTATTTTATTTATTTATTTAGAGACAGAGTCTCACTCTGTAGCCTGGGCTAGCTTGCCGTGGTATCAGCCTAGCTCAGCAACTTTAAACTCTTGGGCTTAAGCAATCCTTCTGCCTCAGCCTCCTGAGTAGCTGGGACTACAGGCATGCACCACCATGCCCAGCTAATTTTTTCTATATATGTTTTTAGTTGGCCAATTAATTTCTCTCTATTTTTAGTAGAGACTGGGTCTTGCTCTTGCTGAGGCTGGTTTCGAACTCCTGACCTTGAGTGATCCTCCCACTTCCGCCTCTCAGAGATAGAATTACAGGCGTGAGCCACCGTGCCTGGCCATCTTACCCTATTTTAAATGCTCCATCCTTTCTCTCCACCATGAAAAAAAAAAAAAAGATTTTCAGAAAGATGTCATAGGACAAAAAGTATGTTTATGGAAGAGTAAGAAATCTTAATTACCAAGGCTATCTGGAGAATGTTGTTAGAATTAAGGAAAAGCCCCTTGGCTTTAAAAGCTAGAAATTCATCTCTACTGTCAACAGTATGACATTCATTCTAAGTTACCTCATGTGCAAAGAAGGGATGCTATGATAATTTCTAGAGGATTTGTGAGATGCAAGTTAAATAATTGATGCAAAAATATTTTGGCAAGGGAGGAACTCACTATGGAAAAGCAAGATGTGAAATTAGCAAAAATAACTCCTGCAAAATGTAAACATTTCAAAAGTCAAAAAGTTCCCATGATCCAATCATAGGAAAGGTTCAGATGAAATGAAAGTTGGACATTAGAGTACCCTTATTATATTCTTTATCTGAGGTATGTATATATCTTATCTTAAGTTTTCTCTCAAACGTCAAGGAAATCTGAATATGTGATCTTACCATTAACAGCCAAATTAACTCTGTAATATGGTTTGTCAGTATAGTTTACATATTTGGAATTTATTTAAACCATGTCAAAATTTAAGTCAAGATGACCATAGATATAGCCATATTCTAAAATTTATATATTCATATAAATACTATATGTAACATATGGAAACATACACACATTTTCTTTCAGAATTCCAGAAAACAAAAGGAAAATTAGAAGAAAAAAGTATATTATTCTATAGAAATGGATGTGCTGCAGGTTTTAGCGTTCATTGTGTCAAATCCTTATTTACTGTGAATATATTTTTCATTTGAAATAATACTTGCAAATCTTCAGATTATTATTCACCTTTGATTATCATTATTACATGGTCTACTTTACAGATCATTTGTGGCAAATGTTAAATTTTATATTATCTTGCTTTTGCTTCCTAGGAGATTTTAATGTACCTCCACTGGATATTTGTTGAAATTTTTTGGATAAATATGAACATTTTAATATTAGCTTAAGAAAACTATAAATATAAGTATCTACCAAAACATAGCCATGTAATATATATTTCAAAATTAGATATAGGAGAATACATATTCTCAGACTCGTGGAGTTTCTATTATGTTTGCAGCACTGAACTGCAGGGAGTACAAAAATGAATGTTAGAGATGAGAGCCTATCAGCCAGAATCTCAGTATTTCACAGACACACATATTAATATATTAGTAGTTTTAATACCAGCTAGGCATTTGTCAGTGCTGTATGCACTATGACCAAAATCTTTGGGAAAATTGTTTTAGAGGGGAAGAAGAAATTATTTTCTAATCATGGCCTTTGGGAATGTTTCTTGGGAAGAGTGAGTGGGATTTTACTGGGCTTGGAAGAATGGGTTGGGCCTCAAGAGACAGCTTTGAAGAAGGGTGGCATTTAAGCAAGAGGTGCTTGAGCAAGGGGTCAAAATGAAGGAAGTGCAAGATGTGTTTGGAGAGTGGTGAGCAAAATAGTTTGGCTAGAATGTGAGAACTATGGGCTGGAGGAGTAGAAAGTGGAGCTGAAAGTGGTTTGGGCCTAGATTGTGGGAGAGCCTTGGCCATCTAAAAAATCTTGATTTTAGTATATTTTGTTTTTGTATTAACCTTTAATAATACAATGGTTATTAGCCCATTTATATTTACGTTGATATGAAATATTTGAGAAAAAACAGAAGACACCTTCATATGGTCTCACTTAGAAAATTCTTTCAGTAGCTTAGAATAGAACTGATTAAAACTTTGGCCTGAAGTAAACATTTTTTTAGTACTTGTTATTGACTGAAAATTATACTTGGCACTTGGACAGAGAGAGTATAGCCTTTGAGCATGAGTTACCTTGTAGAGCTAGAACACATGTGAAACTGAAGAACATTTATAAAGTAGCAATATATCATTTACTTTGTCACTTTGGAATCTCTTTTACTTCAATTTCCCTCCCAGGCCAATGCTAGCATTAATCTATTTGGTGCATTCTAAATAGGCAAGAAGTTAGGCTTTTTGGAGAAGCATTTTCTGCCTTACTGTTTGGAAATGTTACAAATTTCAGGTGAGAGTAATTGAGATAATTCTTGCCACCATCCAAACTGGCAATATGTTTAAAATAGCCCTGGGTATAAAGAGGACCCACCACACAAACCCATTTTAGAGCTATGCACAATCTTTTCAGTTCATGAGATCTAGTTTTCTAAGATAATGAGTGTCCAATAACAACAAAAAAATTTAAATTTAAAAAGGACCTTTTTGAAAATGCTTTTTATAATAGGGTAGATGATTTAGTGAATTAATTTTCTTATAAGATTAGTGTACCCTTATAATCTCTATAGTTAAAGCTATTAACTTTTAATATGTTGCAGAGTAATTTTTTCATATTCATAGTTCATTTGCTCTGTCTCTTTTATATATATAGTTTTCATTTAGATCTTCATGCTCTCCTCTTTCTTCCTTTACTCTTTCCTTCCTTGCTTTCTTTCCCTTAATGTCTTTTTAAAAAATTGCCACTTAGTATTTAAGATATGATTACTTAGATTAATAACTGTTAGATTAATAACTCTCCTTTCCTTAAGGATTAATCAGTTGTTTCAAGTGCTTGGAGCTTTTTGTATGAAAAGCATAATTTAAATGTGTTGTCACTGTTGTCATAATGGTAATGATTACCACATCAATTAAAACCGTCTGTTTTCATCCTTATTTTCTGTTATGTGGTTCTTAGGTTCAGAATTTAACATTACGCAGCCAGAAGTTGGGTATATTATCTAGCTCACAGAATGGTCCACCAAAAAGCACTAGTCAAACTCAGTCGTTGACAATTTGTCATAACAAAACAACAGTGACCAGTTCTAAAATCAGCCAACGAGATCCTTCTCCAGAAAGTAATAAGAAAGGAGAAAGTCCAAGTCTGGAATCACGAAGCACAGCTGTCACCCGGACATCAAGTATTCACCAGTTAATAGCACCAGGTGGGATAAAACTTTTTGTTGAAAATAGTTGCATTATTCATTTTCTTAGAAGACAGAAACAAAGCATGTCCATTACTTGAACAAGAAGGACACTTTTAAAGCATTTTAAAATGTGAATTTCATAAGTTAAAAAAAGAACATCTTAATATGTAACTTAAAAAAAGAGAAATTTTAAAAGCCAGTAGCTAAAAGAAATTATAATAATAAAATAGATTTTTAAATCAATTGACATTTGATTAACATCGTTATTATGTGCTAATCTCTCCTTATACTGATAAAACCTTTTAGTTGTAAAAAAAGATTTGCCTGTAGTTTATTTAATAAGCTTTAGTGGAACAACTTTAAAAGCTTGTAAAAACGCCAGTATATTATTTTGTTTAAAGTTGTCACCAGTGGGAGGAATTTGTCACTTTGAAAAATACGGATTATGCACAATTATTTTCTTTAGCATGTTACTTTTTTTCATCTCGGAGAAGATCATGTCAGGGACACTTAAGTCATTTTCATTTTCATTCAGCTTTGAATTCCACCTGTGCTTCCTTTACTTTCTACAGATAACCTTGCCTCATGATTCTCATACTGAAAATGTTGGGGCCATCCAGAGTAAGCTTTCTGTTAATCTTAAAATCTCAGGATTGAGAGAGTTACCTGATTTCTTCTTAAAATCAGCACCATTTGCCTATGTCATTGATCCCATCTTTTCTACCTACCTCTGACCTTCTTTAGTACATAGTTATTATAGCATCTTTTGTCTTCTCATGCTAGATCCTTTCCTTTGCTTCTTAAGCATACTTAGGTCTCCTCTATTCTTTTTATATATATATATATATTTATTTATTTTAAGGCTAGTCAAGTGAAGCAGTGGGAGTGGAGAAGGAACAAAGGAATCTGTAACTGGTTGTGAGTAATTAGTTGTAAATACGACTGCACTCGGACCAGCCTTCCCTATTCTTAATATATCCGCATTTTTTTTATATCACTGTAACTGTTGTTTATTTGAGCATGTGTTTGTGTGTGATGCACTGGGATAGACACTTCACATGTGTTTCATTAAAACAAAAAAAAATCTTCCTTCGTTGCAACAACCTTATCAGGTAAGCATCTTCTTTCTGTTATTTCATTACTCTGCTTTACTTTTTTCTTTGAGACTGGGCCTTGCTCTGTTGCCTGAACTAGAGGGCAGTGGTGTCATCATAGCTCACTGTAACCTCAAATTCCTGGGCTCAAGTGATCTTCCTGCCTGGGCCTCCCAGGAAACTGGGACTACAGGCGAGTACCATCACACCTAGCTAATTTTTCTATTTTTTTAATAGAGACGGGGTCTCAAACTCCTGGTCTCAAACAATCCTCCTGCCTCAATCTCCCAAAGTGCTAGGGTTATAGGTTAGGTGTGAGCCACTGTGCATGGCCTGCTTTACTTTTTAAAGATTTGTTTTACAGTACTGAAGTCTGCTTTATTCTGCTTAAACCTATTTCAGTTTTTATGTTCTTCTGTTAATATTGCCAACATCCTTTACATCACCAAATCTCAAAATCTTGGCATTGGCTGAGTCCCCTAGTTAGAAATTTTTCCTCATTCTGAACTTCTGTAGCATTTTATGGTCCGTTATGGTTCCTTTGCTTTTAGAGTTATTTATATACTTATTGATCTTAGCTTCTTTACTACATAATAAGTTCCTTGAGGGTAGGATAATAATATTAATTGCTTCTGTATGTGTCAGGCACTATTTTAGCACTTTACATTTATTAAATAACTCATTAGTCCTTTTACAGATTCACCTTTTAATCCTTATATCTTGACAGTACTAAGTTGTGCCTTATATGTACTTACCTACATTAGGTGGGCAGTATATATTTGTTGGATTAATAGTTCATTTTTTTTTTCATTTGGATTTTGGAAATTATAACAGCCTTTCTCATTAGCACTAAGTAGGTATCACTCTGCTTAGAATTGTTAAATCTGAATCTTAGATAAGTAAAGGCTTTGATATAATATATAAATTAATTAATCTTTTCATAATATAGTTAGACATGAGTTCTGTTATGAACATCTGTGTGCCAGGCTCTGCTCTCCATATGGCTTGAAAGCTGGGTTTTTGCACTGTACTGTCAGGCTCAAACCAGCATCTGGTCCATGTTGACAGACAGTCATTGTGGAGTAGCAGTGACCCACTGTGCTTGGAGTAACTGCTCAGGGAACAGTTTTTAGCGATTCGTATAATTTTGACAGATTATAATGAAGGGTGGGTTAATTTCTTTCCAAAGAGAATGGGACTTTCAGAGAAAGCTGGGAACTCTTTCAGGGCTACTTCAAACAAGGAGATCTACTTTTAGATTTTCAGTCCCCCTTAACTCCAAATACTTGGTTTTAATTTGCAACTTATTCTTCCCTCTTTCATTGAAAGTATGATAATATCCTCATAGTTGGCCTTTCTCTGATGGCCAATATTTTATGTATGTAAGGAGGAGACCGGTGAGCCAAAACCACCAAAGATCTCAGGTCAATTATAATTCCAAATTCAGATCTTAAATCTATTACCCAAACTCTAGTTTTCCACAGTGTTGTCGATTAGAAACAAAACCACACAGAACATCCTAAACCACATAAACCTTTGTAGTGATCAAAGTTACATGTTTGTTAAGCTTTACACTACAGTTATTCAGAGCAATTCATATCTTCTAGCAAGGCCACAGCTATATTTTTCACCCTTTTAGTTTTTCTGCTTTTATTGGTGGGAAGTTATTCTGAAGATAAGATATTTTGGGAAATTCTAAAATTGTTAATTTGTCCTTTTCCTCAATTAGAAAAATGTTCCTTCAGGTTTTTTTTTTGTTTTTTTTTGATGCTGGGGCTAGAGTACAATGGCATCATCATAACTCACTGCAACCTCAAACTCCTGAGCTCAAGTGATCTTCCTGCCCCAGTTTCCTGAGTAGCTAAGACTACAGGGGTGCACTGTTACATCCACATAATTTTTCTAGTTTTTGTAGAGATGGGGTCCCACTGTATTGCTCTGTCTGATCCCAAACTCCTGGCCTCAAGCGATATTCTCACCTTGGCCTCCCAAAGTGCTAGGATTACAGGCATGAGCCACCACACCTGGCCCCTTCAGGTCATTTTAAATGTAAAAAAAAATTTACTTGTATTCTAATTTAGTATAGTCAAATAATTATTATAATGGACGTGGTTATTGTTCTCTTACATGCATTTTTAGGGTGCTAAAGTAATTTGATTTTCTTTATCATTTCTCCTTGAAGGTGGAGTTTCCACTTGATACTTAGTAATTCTATTGTGAATACACAAAATAAAGGCAAACTTTAACCAAATGTTTGGAAATAATTAGAGCATTAGAGCTGAAGTTTCTAAATAGTGGTTTTTAGAGATTTTATGAAACCAGTCTAAATGGAAAAAATACATACTGTTTCTTGCAGACATTAATTCAGTATGCAGTTAAAAGGTCCTCTATTAATTAGTCTGCTCTGGGCGACATAATAAAATATCATAGGTGGCTTAAAGAACAGAAATTTATTTTCTCACAGTTCTGGAGGCAGGAAAGCCCAAGATCAAGGTCCAGCAGTGTTCAGTTTCTGGTGAGGGCTCTCTTTCTGCCTTGCAAATATCTTTATGTGGGCTTTACTCTGAGTATGTATGGGGTGTTTAGGAAAGGGGGGATAGCTTTCTGATGTCCCTTCTTAAAGGGACACAAATCTTATCATGTCAGGGCCCCAAACTTATAACTTCATTTAACCTTAATTACTTCTTTAGAGGTCCCATCTCCAAACACAGTCACGTATTGGGTTAGAGCTTCAATATATGAATTTTGGAAGGAGGCACAAACATTCAGTCCATAAGAGGGTCCTAGACTCAGGATTATGGCCTCTTTTAGACCCAATACTGTCCTTGATAGCCAAATGATTTCAGGCGAGTCACATAGCTACTCAGAGTTTCTTCATCTATAATATGCTGGTTTGGTATAGTACCCTGTCTACTTAGTGTGGTGGTTGTAACTATTGAATAAAATAATATGTTATTGTAAATAATAAAGAGTTACACATATTTGAGATGATGCTAACCATTAATTCTCCAAATATAAAGCCCCTCTGACAATAATAAAATGTTTATTAAAATCAGAGAAATCAGGTCCATTGGCACATCCCTGTAGTCCCAGCTATTCAAAAGGCTGAAGCAGGAGGATCACTTCAGCCCAGGAGTTCAAGGCTTCAGTGAGGTATGATCATGCCACTGCATTCCAGCCTGGGCAGCAGAGTAAGACACCATCTCTAAAATAATAATAATAATAAATCAGAGAGATTAACTAACATGATATGATTCTCTAGAGCACCAGGGCTTTTCTTGTGCAGAGATAATTGTTTCAAATATCCTCATAATTTTTCTGTTATATATGTGTCAGTTGAACTTACAGACTAATATAAAGTAACTCACTTTGATTTCTGATCCAAGAAAAATTTAATTCAGATGAAAGGATAGATTAATAACCTATTGAATTATCAGCTGTAGAATATAAAGGGGTTGCTTACTTGCTAGTGCACAGAATTGTTATTTAGTATATATAATATCCATTATATTTCAAGACTATGATAAATTTAAATTATAACTTTACTTAAAAATTGAATTAAAGTGGGCCTTTGCTGTTATATTTGGAAAAATTTTATTTTCTTATCTGTAAGAGGGAAATAATAAATGCTCACCTACTCCACAGGTATTTTGTGAATACAAATGAGAGAGATGCAAAATCACCTTGAGCCACTTGGAGGAAAGGCACTCTGTAGAAATCCTAGATTTTGTTAATTCACTTTTTTGAATACTCAAAAATATAGTCTACACCAATACAGTTACAAAGGGTGGACATAAAATTTTCAATCTTAGTTTGAATTGCCGGTCTAGTTATTATGTGAAAATTTTGTTAGATGAAATTTTAGACCTAATTTCCAATTTTTTTAACAATTAGTGGGTCTATCTATTGAACCTTCTAGAACCCTCTTTCTTGGGATGTTAATCAGATGTTAATTTCTTTAAAGGATCCCCAAAATATTAAATAATAACCAAGTGTAAAATGTTAAAAAAATGTTGGAAGTTTTTATGTCTGTTGTCACAAATGTGACTGGACATAAAAGTAGATGCGAGGGTGTTAGATAGTCCTTGTCTTAACATTCTGAGATTCAAAAAAAATTTTACCCCGTCTTTAGAGCTATTTTAAATGTGTATAATTTTTACATGATAGAAGTACTAAGCAATCATTTCAGTTTATTTTCTTATGAACTTAGTTTCCATCCTTGTTTATAGGGAGGTTTCACCAGCATCTCCCTCTGTGTAAATACGTGCATCAGTATGCAGAAGAGGCATAATGATGAGGAAGCCACTTATAACTCGATTATGTTAATTCTTTCAAATATTTATCCCTGTTGTGAGTGTCACCTCTGACACTGTCAGTTATAAATTATTGTAGGGTTTTTTGTGTGTGTTTTTTTTGGTGGAGGAGAGGTGTAAACAAGATCCTTTATTTAGATCGCATGGGCTTCTGATTGCCTCATTCTCTCAATCAAAGCTAGTGCTCTCCTGGATTTGGGATGGCCCCTAAGTTTTAATTCTTAGTTACAATGATTATTTAACTGTGCTACAGGATTCACACATGTGTTTTGCAATTGAATTAAATTGTACATAAAACATTTTCTCTTCTTGGATTAAATAATCCAGACTCTTCATCTCACCTCAAATTTGGAAACTCATTTTGGAAGCTTTATAAGTAATTACCTTGACTATTTGTTTGGAAGCATGTTTAGATATAGATTAGAAAGGATGAGACTTATTTTATGAATTTTAATATAGAATTTTTATGATTTCTAAGTTATCTCTGTATATATTAAACTTGTTCAATGATGATACTCTTTTCCCCCAAAGAATAAATTCAGGTGTATAAATTTTGCTAAAAAGTTGATGTAGCTTTTCTGGTGACCAATAAAATGTAGTAAGAATAAGTCATGTGTAAATTCAGATTTATGAGTTAATTGTTTTAGGTAGTTTTGGAACTTACCACGGTACAGCTTATTTTATGAAATTTTTACAGTTTTTCAGGGAAAATATGTTTGTCATTAAATTTTCAAATCACGCTGTGTGGAACACTTGTAATAGAATTCTGATGATTGTGACCTTCTAATGTAAAAACTTTATTCCTTTAGATTTATTAAAACATTTCTATGATATTTTTGAAATTGATACTAATTGTCATTTTTTTCTCTCACAGCTTCATATTCTCCAATTCAGCCTCATTCTCTAATAAAACATCAGCAGATTCCTCTTCATTCACCACCTTCCAAAGTTTCCCATCATCAACTGATTTTACAACAGCAGCAACAGCAAATTCAGCCAATCACACTTCAGAATTCAACTCAAGATCCACCCCCATCCCAGCACTGTATACCACTCCAAAACCATGGCCTTCCTCCAGCTCCCAGTAATGCTCAGTCGCAGCATTGTTCACCAATTCAGAGTCATCCCCCTCCTTTAACAGTGTCCCCTAATCAGTCACAGTCTGCACAGCAGTCTGTAGTGGTGTCTCCACCACCACCTCATTCACCAAGTCAGTCTCCTACTATAATTATTCATCCACAAGCACTTATTCAACCACACTCTCTTGTGTCATCAGCTCTCCAGCCAGGGCCAAATTTGCAGCCATCCACTGCTAATCAGGTGCAGCCTACAGCACAGCTGAATCTTCCTTCCCATCTTCCACTTCCAGCTTCCCCTGTTGTACATATTGGCCCGGTTCAGCAGTCAGCCTTAGTGTCCCCAAGTCAGCAGATTGTGTCTCCAACATCACACCAGCAATATTCAACCCTGCAATCCTCTCCAATTCCGATTGCAACCCCTCCACAGATTTCGGCATCTCCTCCAGCTCAGATTCCACCACTGCCCTTGCAGTCTATGCAATCTTTACAAGTGCAGCCTGAAATTCTATCCCCGGGCCAGGTTTTGGTGCAGAATGCTTTGGTGTCAGAAGAGGAGCTTCCAGCTGCAGAAGCTTTAGTCCAGTTGCCTTTTCAGACTCTTCCTCCTCCACAGACTGTTGCGGTAAACCTGCAAGTACAACCACCAGCACCTGTTGATCCACCAGTGGTAAGCCCTTGGAAGCTCTTTGACTTTCTTGCTGAACTGAAAGTACAAACTGTTTTCTGCCACAATGTTATATTGCTAGATCTAAATGCCTATGAATTTAAACAGCTTGAAATTTCCATATGTCAGTATTCTGACAAACATGCTGTATGGGCAAAAAAAAGAAAAAAAAATGCCATTGTTTGCTTAGTATGGTTGCATGCTTGATAATTTGTGATGGTTATTAAAGTCCCTCGTTAATTTTATTACTATTTAAACAAATCCATCTGCTATCTTTACAGAGTTGATTTTTTTTCCCCAAGGGAATGCATTTGAACCAGTGTCATCTGCACAAAGTTTTTTCTCTTAAGGTGATTATCCTTCATAGATCCCTTCTGTTGGCTTGTATGTTCTTAAACGTATGGTTTATCTAGCCTAACCTTTTTGGTTGTATGCCTTCTGAAGTCCTGGGCCTTTAGGGGCTTTTGTTTCAAGGTGGAGGGGTATGCTTGTATGATTCTGGTAAAATTGTATTTTGTAATTAAAATTTTGTAAATCAAATTAACTTTTGTAAATTAAATTAGATTTTATAAATAAAATTTAATTTTATAAATTTTTATTTTGCGGAAGAGTCTAACTTTGCAAAAATAATTAACTGTAGACCATCTCATAGAATTATTAAACTTCTGATATTTTATTTCTACCAAGGGAATATTTTAATACTTAAAATATTTCTCATTTAAAAAGCTCAATACTGAGGATGAAAAAAATCCATTGAGTGGAATAAACGTTTTGAATGTTTGAGATTGTAGTGAAATTTATAAGAATAAACCTCTAAAAATGGTTACATTTTGCCTAGAAAGGAAAATCATCTTGAAAAATATTTTTTTTAAACGTTCTCTGAAAGAATTTATAAAACTTATAAAGTAACTTAGAATTAAATTGAAATAAGGTCTACTAATGTTTAGTCAGAATGATCAAATTCATAACAATTTCTAACTGAGGAGAGGAATCTTCCTATGGGGAGGTTTTATATCAAACTTCATTAAAAAGATTTTATAACTTAAAGGCTCATAAACATTAGCTCAGAAAGGAAACAAGTTTCAAAGTCTGTTTTTTAATAGGAAACATTTTGGTTTTCAAGATGCAAGGTTTTGTTTTTTTTCTTTTTGTCATTCTGATTGATCGTAATAGGTATAAAGAGATTGAATTCCACTTCCTATTCATTTTTATTAAAAACAGAACAAAACAACAGTGGACATTTAGAATTAAGTTTTTCATTCACTTACGTGTCTATATTTTCTTTTTTAGTAGATTTTTAAGAGTTTACAATGGATATTATAACAGAAACACAGTTTAGTAAGTACCTTCAAAGAAATAAAATTTACTTTAAATTTATTTTCTCAGTATCTAGTTCAGTGATTTGGTTTTTGGCAAGTAAAAAAAAATTTCTGTATAATCTTTATATTTTCCTAATTGTTTTTATTAGGGGAAACTTTGGAGGAATGTATTTGGGATAGAAGTATCAAAAACATAACACTTTTAAAAAACTAAATTAAAGCTAAAAATATTTAATATCTTATTTTGTTGCTTCTTGCCTTGATCCCTTTTTCAATTTTAAAAAAGTTCATGTTATATCATTTTTGGAAATTTTTTTTTTTTTTTTTTTTTTTGAGACAGAGTCTCGCTTGTTGCCCAGGCTAGAGTGAGTGCCATGGCGTCAGCCTAGCTCACAGCAACCTCAAACTCCTGGGCTCAAGCAGTCATCCTGCCTCAGCCTCCCGAGTAGCTGGGACTACAGGCATGCGCCACCATGCCCGGCTAATTTTTTCTATATATATTAGTTGGCCAATTAATTTCTTTCTATTTATAGTAGAGACGGGGTCTCGCTCTTGCTCAGGCTGGTTTCGAACTCCTGACCTCGAGCAATCCGCCCGCCTCAGCCTCCCAGAGTGCTAGGATTACAGGCGTGAGCCACCGCGCCCGGCTCATTTTTGGAATTTTTTTAAAAAATGAAATTAATAACTTTTTCTCTGCTATTACTGATATGGTCATTATGGTTGCTGTAGATGTTCCCATGTTACCTTTTTAAAAAAATCTTCTACCTTTCTTTGAGTAATATAGCTCTTATTACTAAACTCCTATATTTTCTTTTATTATCTTTAACCAAATGTGTTATTTTTTTCTAGTTATTAAACTGCTATATTTTCTTTTATTTTCTTTGACCAAATATGAAGAAACACGTTTTTTCACAAATTATACTTTCCCAATTGTTTCAAATATTTAAAAGTAGAGAGATGTGAAATTTTGAAAGACAAAGATGATTATCAAAGTAAAATCAATATTTTTTTAAAAGATATATTTTTCAAAGAATTAAAGTTTAATTGTCATTTGGGTATAAATAAGATATGTTGAGGGTAGATAATTTAGAACTAATAAATAAATGTTCCTCAGTTTATTTAGGAAAGGGAGACATGGGAATAATGGACTTTATTGAGGTAAGTTTGGCAGTCTTTGCTATTTTTAGAATAGTTATAGTTATGAGCTGAACAGTAATTGTGATGTGCAGTTTCCTAATGATCTTGTGAGCATAATCTCTACTTCTTTGCTTTTTTTCCCCCAACATTTTAGTTGTTGCATTTTTATTTTTTTTAATGTGGATCCTGCCAGATGTGTGCGACAGATTTGTTTTTGCCTTCTTCTTTTATTCATTAACTTATTTTGCCTTTACTTGAGAGATTTGGATGTATGTATACTTAGCCTTAAGTATGAAGAATGAAAAGTATTTTATAATATTTGTTGAAGGGTTCACAATATGCTGTTTGTGTTATGGCTCTTTCCATCCTTTGAACTCTTTCATTCTTTTTTAAAAATCAGAATTCTATACCTGAATAAGCTTTGATTCCTTAAAAGATACTGTAGCAGATGTTTGAATAACATGTGACAGCATTAAGATTAAAGAGAGTTTCAGCATTTTAAGAAAAGATACTGTTCTTTGGAAGAAAAGTAACATCTACTAAAGGGAGGCTACATAGATAAAATTGAACTGGTTGATAAAACCATACTTCTTTAATTACCTCTGAATTAACATCCTCACCACGGAGGCAAATTAAAATAATTGCTACTACAGCAGATGTCCCTGGGCAGTAGGTTTTTTTCTTAACCCTGCAGAATTTTTTTGGTGATTTTCCCTATATTGGGCATTATCATCATTTTAAAAATTGTTACCATGAACAGATCCTAGCAGCTGTAATTGTTACATTGAACAGTAACAAACAATTGTCTTAGCTTCTGAGTTCCAGGCATGAGGCAAGGAATCTCTCTTGGTGAAACTAGTTTCCAGATGCAGGGTTGTGAGCAAATAAATACTTTGCCTACTTAGTAGCTGATTTGGATCAGAATTCTGGATATTATATTTGATATAAAATTAGTTAACAGTAGGATTTTTAAGTTTTAAAAACGGTAGAAAGGCCGGGCGCGGTGGCTCACGCCTGTAATCCTAGCTCTCTGGGAGGCCGAGGCGGGCGGATTGCTCGAGGTCGGGAGTTCAAAACCAGCCTGAGCAAGAGCGAGACCCCGTCTCTACTATAAATAGAAAGAAACTAATTGGCCAACTAATATATATAGAAAAAATCTAGAACCGGGCACCTCCGTGGCGCATGCTGTTAGTCCCACGCTATTGGGAGGCGTGAGACAGACAGTGATCGCTTGACGCCAGGACGTTCTGAGGTTGCTGTGTACGTAGGCTGACGGCCACGGCACCTGCGCACTCTAGCCTAGGAACAAAGGAGATCTGTTCAAAAAAAAAAAAAAAAAAAAACGGTAGAACCAATACACCCATGTTTTAATTCTTAATACGGCTTGCACAAGATTTTATTGTATTACTTTACTAGGTCTTATCTCTTTTGAGACCAGAGTCTCGCTTTCTTGCCATAGCTAGAGTGAGTGCCGTGGCGTCAGCCTAGCTCACAGCAACCTCAAACTCCTGGCTCAAGTGATCTCCTGCTCAGCTCCAGCTCACTGCCGGGCGCTACAGGCACAAGCATGCCACGCGCCTGATTTTATAATATATATATTAGTTGGCAATTAATTTCTTCTATTTTTATGGTAGAGACGGGGTCTCGCTCAGGTTGGTTTTGAACTCCTGACCTTGAGCAACTCCGCCCGCCTCGGCCCTCCAGAGTGCTAGGATTACAGGCGTGAGCCACCGCGCCCGGCCTTATTTATTTTTTTTAACTGGCACCTGTTGCTAGATATACCTTTATAGATGAACTTCATAGTTTCTTTTATAACACATGGTTTATACAGGTTTCAGATATCTTGATTTATAGATATATATATATATATTTTTTGAGATAAGTATCTTGCTCTGTTGCCCAGGCTAGAGTACAGTGGCATCATCATAGCTCACTGCAACCTCCAACTCCTAGGTTCAAGCAATCCTCCTGCCTCAACCTCCCAAGTGCTGGAACAACAGGTGTGCAACACCATGCCTGGCTAATTTTTCTATTTTTTGTAGAGACAGGGTTCTCACTATGTTGCTCAGGCTGATCTAGAACTCCTGGCATCAAGCAATCCTCTCGCCTCGGCTTCCCAAAGTGCCTGGCCAATTTTATATTCAAATCATCAAAATTTTTAAATAGTTTGATTAAAAATACATACAACATTAGATCACTGAAAGTTTTTTTTTTGTAAATATTGAAAGGTTTTTTGTTTGTAACATTTACTGGAATTTTAATCATTTTGGTTAAGTAATGTTAAGAAAACTAATAATCTTGGTAAGTTTAAGTAATAAGCTTTGTATGTAAAAGAATGGAGATGAGCTGTCTTACGGCTTTGTTTTTAGTAACCTATCATCTTTCACAAATAATGGTTAAGGAAATAATAAATGATGACAGATTAAAATACCTCTGTCAGTCTCTAGAAGTCCACTTTGAAAACTAAGCCTTAAGTTTAAAGAAACATTAGGAATAAGTTACTTCTAGTTATATAGCTCCTTCTTAGAGTGCTTTTGATTCCATCTTCCTTAAGTATGATCTTTACAATTGGATAACAGAGTGGTTAAGCTAAAGACTTAAAAACTTTCCCCTATAAGTATGGAACAATGTTAAAGAGATGAAAAATATTATGTCAAATAGCTTAGGGTGTGTGTGTATCTGTATTTTAAGGACCAATATTTTCTGTTTACATATTAGCTTATAAAGATTTATTAGATTCTTGAGTGAGGCAAAAGGAAAGAGGAGATATAATTGCATATCTTTTTTGTAGATTCTCAGACATTACCTTTCATAATTTAATTCACATGATAATAATAATGAAGAGCCAGGAATATAGTCCTCTTGGCAGTACATATCTTGATAATAGTGTGTGTCAGTTTGGAGATTTATTTACTGTGCCTGTGAAAAATATTAGGATATATTTTGATTTATGACAATTAGAAGTTAACAAAAACAATTCTATAATTCTTGAGATAGTTATTTGATTGTGTAAAATTAAAACTTTTTTTTTTAATTCTCAAAAATAATGTCCAGACTTGATTATCATTCTTTTGGAAACCTTAATGAATTTTGGCCTAGATACTGATCCACAACTTGGCCTAGATACTGATCTACAGATTGCTTTCAGTCAAATATTATTAAGTATTATGAAAAACTTCATTTGAGCAATTTTAAAGTTTTACTTTCAACTTTTCAGAATAGCCATTTTGCCTTGTTTTTAAATGTAATATACTTAGGGTTTAATTTTTTTAAATTAAGCTAAAAATACCTCATTCAGTGTATTTTTGGAAACATTAAGGCAACGTGGTTTGTCATTACAGGTTTATCAAGTAGAAGATGTGTGTGAAGAAGAAATGCCAGAAGAGTCAGATGAATGTGTCCGGATGGATAGAACCCCACCACCACCCACTTTATCTCCAGCAGCTATAACTGTGGGGAGAGAAGATTTGACTTCTGAACATCCTTTGTTAGGTGAGGAAATAGCAAAATTTGGGAGAATTGTTCCATTTGATACATGTTAGCAATGGGGAAAATTTATTTTTTCACTGGAGATCACATTAAACCAATTTGTTATTGTAGTTATTATAATTGCAGCAAAAGATAGAGTTCAAGGTGTTTTTTTTTTTAATGAGGAACAATTAGTTTATTAAAGAGTAAGTAAGAACTATTGTCTTCTTAGAAAATTCTTTAATAGCAGGGAGTCAGTAGTTTTATAGATTGTTCAATACCACCCAAATGAAAAACTTACCATTTCAGTCTTCTAATTTTTAGTGATTTGTACAGAGGTGTTTCATTTGCCCAGTTTATTCACCCTTAATCTAAATAATATACTAATCTTGGTTCAGGGCTTGTTTTAAATATTCTGTTCTATTGACTATCTAACAGGTCTCATGATCATTTTCAGTTAAGAAGGACTATTGTAATAGGCATGGAAACAAATTGTAATGGGACACTTGACTCAGCTAAAGCAACCCTTGTTTGTTTTCTTCAGTATGCAGCATCCCCTTCCCATCCCTTCTCTCAAGCTTTTATTACTTCACTACTAATGTGAATTTCTGGAAAGCATAGAAGGGGAAAATTAATTTTCTTTTAGCTTTTTCCCCTTCTGAGACACAGAAAATGTTTAGCCAACAAAATTATATATAAGATTTAAGGCCGAGTACAGTGGGAACTTGAGACAGGACAATCGCCTGAGGCCAGGAGTTCAAGATCAGCCTGAGCAACATAGTGAGATCCCATCTCTACAAAATATAAAAAAAATTAACCGAGTGTCAAGAATGGAAAAACAAGCACCACATGTACTCACCAGCAAATTGGTATTAACTGATCAGCACCTAAGTGGACACATGGGAATTACATTTATTGGGTGTTGGGCAGCTGAGAGGAGGAAGGAGGGGGCAAGTATATACATACATAATGAGTGAGATGTGCACCGTCTCGGGGATGGTCACACTTGAAGCTCAGACTTGTGGGCGGAGAGAGGCAAGGGCATTATATGCAACCTTAAATTTGTACCCCCAAAATCTGCTGAAATAATAAAAAAAAATTAACTGGGTGTGATGGCATGCTCCTGTACTTTGACCTACTTAGGAGTTTGAGGCAGGGAGGATCTCTTGAGCCCGTGAGTTTGAGGTTGTAGCGAGCTATGATGATGCCACTGCACTCTAGCTTAGGCAAGAGAGCAAGACCCTATCTCAAAAAAAAAAAAAAAAAATTAAGACAAGTTTTATATTACTGCCTTTGTTTACTCAAAATAATACCTCAAAAGATATACTTAAGAAAGTCTAACTATAGTATTAAATCTTTGGTTTCTTTATACTGAAAATGGATTTATATTGCTGCAGATTTCTTAGAGTTTCGATTTAAAGGCAGACATATAAGTATTATTGAATACTAAACTTGCATTGTGACTGACTTAATTACAAAATAAACTTTACTAATGGTATTCAAAGGAAATTTAAACATTTTTGAAATATTGGAACACAAGAATATCTTTGCATGTTTTCCTCAGGAATATAATCTGAGATCCTGTCAGGCCCATCTCTCTGGCTAAATTGTCTAACTACCATGTGGACTTTTGAATCTTCCCATAATTTACTTCATATTTATCACTCCTCTGTAGGATATGGGGGAGGGGAGAGCACAAATGGATTTTTAGAATAACTTTTATCAAATCATGAAATAAACTACCTTGCAAAAATAAGAATTGTTTCCATCTAGGATTCAGTTTTTATAAATCTGTAAAAGTTTTTTAAGAGTAAAATTAGCATCTATACAAAAATGTAGAAAAAGCTCATAGGTCTTGCTCAGAAAATGAGACGATAATCTGTGACAGAGTCCTTTCAGTTAGTTTTTCTCTCACGCTTATCTTAAATCTAGAGGATATAATAATTATATTTCTGTTCTACTGTAACATATCAGTGTTACTCATGTTTTCAATTTTAGCTGTTTATAAACTAGCAAATAATAGCTACTAGCTTTTTCAAAAAGTCAGTATTTTTTTAGGCGGCATCTGGCTCTGTCACCGAGGCTGCAGTCCAGTGTCGTGATTATAAATCAGTATAACCTTCAGTTGCTGGACTTAAGAGATCTTCCTGCTTCAGCTTCCCGAGTAGCTAGGATTACAGGCACATGCCATCATGTTTGACTTTTTTTTTTTTTTAGAAATGGGAAATGGGGTCTTGCTGTGTTGCTGAGGCTGGTATCAAACTCCTGGCCTCAAGTGATCCTCCTTCCTCACCCTCCCAAAGCGCTGGGATTACAGGCATGAGTCCCTGGCCCTACAGTTCTATTTTTAACAAAATTTAGGACTATATAAGATTGGTACTTTGTATTAGTATGTATGATCTAAATAGAAATTAATTAGAACATACACCAAGTAGTATTCCCTGAGCAAACCAAATTATACCTAATGCAGCTTTGTATTTCTAAAGTAACAAAGTATATCTAAATTTGTAAGGGACGTTAAAATTTTATTTTATTTCAGTTCCCCACAGATTTATTTTTCTTCCAACAGAAAAATGCCTGTCAATTCCACTTCAGAATTTTCTATCTTTTATGCTTTGTCTCCTAGAAATACATGTGAAGATTTGGTATGTAGGATAGGCTTTTTGTGGAATTTCTCAGTTTGATAACATATGTGTCCAATTGTTCCCAGAAATCAGCAAATTAGCATTTTTTGATTTTCTTTTTTTTACTTTTTATAGATTGTGTGACTTTAAACAGATGTTTCCATACAGTTGATTATGGTGGATTATCTGGTGGAACTAGGTTAATTTATGACTGTAATAATGCTGTGCAAGGCTTATGTAATATTAATCATATTGGAGTTACTAATGATAAACTGTTAGTGTTTCCATTTCTGAGACTATACAGATGATTACTATACTATTTTATCAGCTGAGTTTTCTATTCTTTACAGATTCCTATTTTTTCTTCTCTCCCTAGCTGGGTTATATTTTGAGCATCTTTGATAGGTGGTATCAATCCTTTTCATACTGATGGTGGAGAAGAGTTAACATAACAATTAAGAGCATGGTCTCCAGAACCAAACTGACTGGGTTAGTATCCCAGCTCCACTACTTATTTGCTGTGTGCCCTTAAGGCAAGTTAATCTCTCTGTCTTGGTTTCCTCATCTTTAAAATTGAGATAACAACAGGATGTACCCATAGGATAGTTATAAAGATTAATATGAGTTATACCATGTAAAAGCATTGAACATAGTACCAGTATATGGGTGCTCAGTATTATTGTTATCTTTATATGCATGCTCTTTTTTTCTCTTGCTCAGATAGAATACCTGTAGTTACTGAAGTTCCTAGATATCAGCTGGTTCCATCTTTCCACTTTAGTAAAGGGTTGGTGCTACTGAATGGGTAGGAAAAATCTTCATTATAGGGCCGCTGGGTCTGTCTTATCATGGTCTTTATAGTGGTAAGGGAAGGAATCACAGTGATCCAGCCCAACATTTTGCATTTGCTAAAGTGCTCTTCAAAATTGATATACACAGTGCTGCTGAAGAGTTGTTTTTTTTTTTTTTAAATTGTGTGAGGATTTGGAGGTAGTTTTCGTCCTTGAAGTTAAGGGTGATGATTGTGTAACTCATTAAAATTCCTACTTATTCTGTGGATCTCATGATCTTGTTTCATTTAAATGTACTTTCAAAGTACTCCCCCACTCTGCTCATATCATTAGGAATATAGGGACTTTAATGTCTGTATAGCTTAAAATAAAAAAACTTAAGTGCCAGTTTTAGTAATTATCCGTAAGTTGATATTCTGAAACATTTTCATGTCTTATGGGATAGTTTTTTAAACCAAGAGTTGAACAAGTTACTCTCTTGCATAAAGTAAGAATAATAATAGTTTCTACCTCAGAAGGTTATGGTGCAGATTAAATGAGATAATGAATATAAAGTTCTTAAAACAGTTTTTTGGAAAGAACCAAATATTAACTGTTATTGTTATTAATGTTTATCCTCTTTCATTTTTGCCTGGGCAAACTGCTAAAAATTTAAAAATTATTATTTTTTTTTTCAGAGCAAGTGGAATTACCTGCTGTGGCATCAGTCAGTGCTTCAGTAATTAAATCTCCATCAGATCCCTCACATGTTTCTATTCCTCCACCTCCACTCTTAATCCCAGCTGCTACCACAAGGAGTAATAGTATGTCTATGCATGGTAGCACTCTCAACATAGAAAACAAACCTCCACAGGCTATTGTTAAACCACAGATCTTGACGCATGTTATTGAGGGCTTTGTGATTCAGGAGGGATTGGAGCCATTTCCTGTAAGTAGCAAGCATATTTGTATGTGTGTGTGTGTGTGTGTGTCTTTATTATTCATATAACATTATTTCTTAAGTTGTCTTTTATTGTTCTCTAATAAAAATCTTATAATTTTATTTCAAAAAGTTGTCAGTCTTTATCTAGAATTTTATGCTATCTATTTAGAGGTATAAACTAAGAAAAAAATGAAAAAAATTTCAGGATATAGAGGTATCAATTTTATAATTTTTAGAGAAAGGTAGTTGGAAGTTTAGTGAAATAAACTTTTCTATTATTTTTTCTTTGCAAGGGGACTCAAATGACACCTAACGTGTTATTTTAAAAATAGTGTTTCAAAGTATGTGATACTGTGAGCCATAACTTGAGTGCAGAAAATATTAACTTCCCATTGACCTAATACATCTAAAGTTACCCAATTGATGGTTTAAAATTAGCAAATAGATTTTCCCATTATTCCTAAATTTCAGCCTTCAATCAGATATTAAAAGTGCTTTAAAATGTTCAGCTCAAAATGGAAGTGTTCTATCACTATAAGTCTTACAATTTGAGACTTGCTATACATAATTTCAGAATTCTTATAAGAAATCCAGCTTTAACACACATAAGACTGAACACAAAGACAATTAATTGGGTCACCAACTATCACAATGCAAGATTTTTACCCATGAATCTGAAAATTCAAAGGCCTTCAAAAGAAATATTTTGTATTTTTATGTCTCCCTATCTTCAATTTATTTTCTAAGAAAAAATGTTGATCTCTGGATACTAGCATGTAAATTATGTACATCTAGTCTCAAATCATAAGACTTGTGCTTATAAAACACCTTCATTTTGAGCTGAACATTTTAAAGCATTCTAAAAATCTGATTGAAGGCTAAAATTGAGAAACAGTGTTTTTCCCTATCTGCCACATAACTGACTGTGTCACTTTCATCATATTCTACCTTTCTGACCTTCATTTTGCTCATCTGGCAGATGGAGATGATATTTTGCTTCTTATGGTTGTTGAGAGAATTAAATGTGCATAAATTATTAATACTATGTATAGTGCCCGGACCTGAATAGCCATAGCTATTATTATCTGTTATCATTAGTGACAACCATAACTTTGGTTTTTTTCAGACTACAAAAGTAATACATGTTCTAAATGGAGAATTTGGAATGTATAGAGCAAACAATCTCCATTAATACCATAATGTGTATGTTTATATATATTTTTTCATATAATCAAGATTATTATTGTATTTATAGTTCTGTTTCTTTCACTTAATAAATTTGAGCTTTTATTTTCCCATATCATTAATAGTACTTTGGAAACATTATGAAAAGTTACATAATATTCTACTTTATGAACATTGATAATTTATGTAATCCTTCCATTGTTGGACATTTAGGTTTCCATTTTTTTACTATTCAGATAGTTCTGAAAGGAATATCTTTATATATAAATCATTTACATTTTAAATTAGTTTCTTAGCATGAATTCCTAGAAGTAGTTATGATATCACATATATATTCATAAGATTCTTCATATATATAGTGCCAAGCTATTTTTTGAAAAGATTATTTAAATTTATTCATCTACCAGAAGTATATGCCTTACCAGCATTGAATATTACAGTTTTTTTTAAGTAATAACTTCCATAAATTTTACTTGAAGCATATTAAATGTCTAACTGAAATGAACAAGATTAAAAAGTTTGTGGGTGGGCCGGGCGTGGTGGCTCATGCCTGTAATCCTAGCACTCTGGGAGGCCAAGGCAGGCAAATCACTGAGGGTCAGGAGTTGGAAACCAGCCTGAGAAAGAGCGAGACCCTGTCTCTACTAAAAAAAATAGAAAGAAATTAATTGGCCAATTAAAAGTATATAGAAAAAATTAGCTGGGCATGGTGGCACATGCCTGTAGTCCCAGCTACTCGGGAGGCTGAGGCAGGAGGATCACTTGAGCCCAGGAGTTTGAGGTTGCTGTGAGTTAGGCTGATGCCATAGTACTCTAGCTCGGGCAACAGAGTGAGACTCTTGTCTCAAAAAAAAAAAAAAAAGTTTGTGGGTGATTACACTTTTAAGGTACAATGTAGACACTTCCGATAAGCTGTTATTCCCTATATGTGGCAGAAATTTGAGACTTAACCAGCATTCTTTTTTTTTAAATTTTTTTTGAAACAGAGTCTCACTTTGTTGCCTAGGCTAGAGTGCCATGTAGTGGTCTGTTGTGATCATTAATCCTGCAAATAAAAGACTTTGTGCATCAAAAATAAATCTTAAGGCCGGGGTGCTGGCTCATGTCTGTAATCCTAGCACTCTGGGAGGCCGAGGTGGGGGAATCACCCAAGGTCAGGAGTTCGAAACCAGCCTCAGTAAGAGCGAGACCCCGTCTCTACTAAAAATAGAAAGAAATTAATTGACCAACTAAAAATATATAGAAAAAATTAGCCAGGCATGGTGGCGCATGCCTGTAGTCCCAGCTACTCGGGAGGCTGAGGCAGGAAGATTGCTTGAGCCCAGGAGTTTGAGGTTGCTGTGAGCTAGGCTGACGCCATGGCACTCTAGCCTAGGCAATGGAGTGAGACTCTGTCTCAAAAATAAATAAATAAATAAAAATAAATCTTAAAAGTTATTGTAGGAAAGAACTCATTCAAAAAGTCCCCAAACAATAAATGTTGGCTTGGATGTGGAGAGATAGGAACACTCCTACACTGCTGGTGGGACTGTAAACTAGTACAACTCTGTGGAAAGCAATTTGGAGCTACCTTAATGTGATACAAGTAGATCTACCATTTGATCCAGCAATCCCACTACTGGGCATCTACCCAAAAGAAGAAATGACACTCTACAAAAAAGACACCTGCACTCGAACGTTTATAGCAGCACAGTTCACAATTGCAAAGTTGTGGGAACAACCCAAGTGCCCATCAATACATGAATGGATTAATAAAATGTGGTATATGTATACCATGGAGTACTATTCAGCTCTAAGAAACAATAGTGATATAGCACATCTTGTATATTCCTGGATAGAGCTGAAACCCATTCTACTAAGTGAAGTATCCCAAGAATGGAAAAACAAGAACCACATGTACTCACCAGCAAATTGGTATTAACTGATCAGCATCTAAGGAGACAAATAGGAATAACATTTATCGGGTGTTGGGCAGGTGGGAGGGGGGAGGAAGGGATGGGTATATACATACATAATGAGTGAGAGGTGCACTGTCTGGGGCAGGCTTCCTCAAACTACGGCCCAAGGGCCACATGCGGCCTGCCGAGGACATTTATCCAGCCCTCCAGGTGTTTTTGCTGCCGCTGCCTGTCCTGCTTAGCAGCTGACTCGTCCTGGGCCCACAGTGCGCATGTGTGGAATGTGCACCGCACTCTCCAATGGCCCTCCAACAGTCTGAGGGACAGTGAACTGGCCCCCTGTTTAAAAGTTTGAGGACCCCTGGTCTGGGGTATGGTCATGCTTGAAGCTCTGACTCAAGAAGGGAGTGGGGACAAGGGCAATATATGTAACCTTAACATTTGTACCCCTATAATATGCTGAAATAAAAAAAAAGAACTCATTAATTGAGGATACTGGCTAATCAAAATTTATTGTTGATCTTTTATTTGTGTTATATTCATATGGAAAACACTGAATTTTCCAAAGGAAAAAAATTAGCACATAGAACTTGAGAGAGAATTGGTTAATAATGTAGAATTTTTTAAAGTTAAAAAAAAGAAAACCCAAAATCTAAATATACTGATAGTTATTGCCTTTGATTTTCAGTGTTGCTGAGCTACTCAGATATTCATAATGCAGGATAACTTGATGATTAATATTAATTTTGAATGTAAGGAATTGCTGAATTTTAAGACTTTTTAAAAACTACTTTCCTAAACTCAGATACTAGGTTTTATTTGACAGACAGTGTGAAGCAGTCATACTGCTGGTGACAAGAAATAAAGATTTTATACTTAACCTTTTCTCAAAGAATAAAGCATGTAATGAATGCATCTGATCAGTTGAACAAGTAAATTATCACAAATAGCATTCATTTCAAGAGTGTTTTTTAGACTGAGTTATTTCTGAATGTCTTTTTAGAGATTATTTCGTTTTATTCTCTCTCCTTTTTAAAGGTGAGTCGTTCATCTTTGCTAATAGAACAGCCTGTTAAAAAAAGGCCTCTTTTGGATAATCAGGTGATAAATTCAGTGTGTGTTCAGCCAGAGCTACAGAATAATACAAAGCATGCTGATAACTCATCTGACACAGAGATGGAAGATATGATTGCTGAAGGTTTGTGGATTTTACTTAAGATACTTTTTAATTTCACTTTGACTTTTACTGCTTGGAACAGGACATAGATTTTTATTTTGCACAGATTTTCACTTGGACGTATTTGCTTTTATTTTCATACAGTGCATTATTTGTCTAAAATAACAGAAAAGCTAACCAGACTCTCAGTGACCAAATAACTAAAATAGCAAGATTGGTGTTGGTTTGTACAATGTCAGTTTTACTTTTGAAGGAGTATGGGAGGAAAAAGTTCCATTATACATGAGAGAAAGCAATTCAGAATTTTAGCATCAAAACAACCAAGTCTCTTTATTTTTTTATGTAGACTTAAGTAACAAATAACTATTTTACTGAGTTTGCTTAAAAATTTAGAGCTTCTGGGTTGTTTGGTTTTAGACTTTTCACATTCTAATGCTTGATATCATGTGGATATTAAAATTATATTAGGGATGTACTGTTCAATCAAGAGGCAATTTGTTGCCTCTATTTCAGTAAGTGTATAAATGAAAGTTGTAGGCTAAAAAGTGTTTATAATGTGTCCCCTTGTGTACACACTTAGAAGGAACATGGAAATCTGCTTAGGGAACTTCACAACATATTTTATGGTACTCAAATTGTAATATAATGGACATACAACATATGCTAGATTGTTCTAGAATCTGAATATATGTAAAACATAACTCCCCTGCCCTCCAGGAGCTTTTAAATCTAGTTTAGAAATAGGGAATCTCCATAATAGATATCTAAGAAAAAACAAATGGTAAAATTTCAATGAATTATTTAGACAGAATTTAGAACATTAAAACTCGCTGAGAGGCCGGGCATGGTGGCTCACGCCTATAATCCTAGCTCTCTGGGAGGCCGAGGCGGGCAAATTGCTCAAGGTCAGGAGTTCAAAAAAACCAGCCTGAGCAAGAGCAAGACCCCATCTCTACTATAAATAGAAAGAAATTAATTGACCAACTAAAAATATATAGAAAAAATTAGCCAGGCATGGTGGTGCATGCCTGTAGTCCCAGCTACTTGGGAGGCTGAGGCAGTAGGATCTCTTGAGCCCAGGAGTTTGTGGTTGCTGTGAGCCAGGCTGACGCCATGGCACTCACTCTAGCCTGGACAACAAAGTGAGACTCTGTCTCAAAAAAAAAAAAAAAAAAAAAACCAAACTCTCCGAGATTATTCTCAGTTTGATGAGTTTATGTAGAGATAAGGTTTGACCTGGGTCTCGGATAATACTGCATAGATTTAAGATAACAAACAGAAAGAATATTTCAGGTTAGAACACTATGAGTAAATACACAAAGGATGTGTAAGTACTAGGTAACTTTAGGAGGCTACAATAGAGGTTTGGATTAGAGGAGGAGTGGCAGGTTAAGACTAGAGTCCCATGGGTATTAAACAGAGGATTTAAGAGTTACCTTGTCAAGGGGATGGTTACAAGATTTTTAGGCAGGTGATATGAACAAAAGAGTGTTTTAGGAAACTTTGCTGGCCATCTGTAGGATGTATGTAGAGGTTTGGCATGTAATTGACACCTGCAGTCACTGTGGGAAGGGAAGGAAAGGACTGATGGGAGACAAGGCAAAGAGTAGTTCAACAGGGCAAGATTCCACATAAGGAAAGGAAGACTTAAAGATAATATATTTCATAGGGGAGAAATACTTACATACAATGTGCTAAAATTTTAAATATTTATAATTTAATTTTCCAAGGTAATTTTATAATTTCAGTGTACTTCAGTGTTTATGGGACATTTTTATAGGGTAAAATGGTGAGGTCACTTATTTAGTGGCTTTGGTTTTAGTAGTATATATATAATTTCAGTATAAAAACTTTATGGTGAGGATTATTTTCTTTTTAAAGGATAAACTATGGCTGTCTTTGGACTAGTTCTATAATCAGTATCTCTAACCATTACACTGTCATGTATCAAAGATATCTTACTGTCTTCCCTGGTAAAGCATCACCTGTCTTTGCTGCTGATCCTCATGCAATTTTAAGTCTTTGGGGAAATAAAACTATTGTAACTCCTCCACACACAAAAATATTAGGGGTCTGTATTGGATATAGGTTGAGACCCAGAATAACATTTGATTAAATAACATAGGAGTTTAATTTTTTTGACATAATCCAAAGGTCAGCAGTCCAGCGCTTACATGGTAGCTCCTTGGTGTTGGGTACCCAAGCTCCAGTGTCTGCTGTCCCTAGAATGTTGCTTTCATTTCAAGATGGCTGATCTTCATAATCATATGTTAACCAATGAAAGTGAGAGAGGGCACCATCTGAAAGTTGAGAGCATTTGTATTCATATCCCAGTGGTCATAAATCAGCCACACCTAGGGCAGAAACTAGTTTTTATTCTGGATGGCCATGTTTCTAGGGTTTTGTTACCATGGAAGAAAAGCAGAGAATGGGTGCTGGAGAATTACCAGCTGTCTCTGTCATAGAATCTCATTTTTATTAGCTAAATCAGCAATTTTTTTAACTCTTTGGCTCTGCATTTTTCATTCAAAAATGTATAGAGTTACTTTGGTTATTAGATTTGTTGAAAATCTAACTGAATATTAGAATAGGTATTTTTGAATGTTAATGTCCCTCACTTCTTTTTTTTAAAATTTATATTCATTTTAATTTTTTTTTGGAGACATTGTTTCATCCTGTTGCCCTGGCAAGAGTGCCGGGGGGGAGGGTCTTCATAGATCACTGCAACCTCACACTCCTGGACTCAAAGCAATCCTCCTGCCTCAGCCTCCCAAGTAGCTGGGACTACAGGTTGGTGACACCATACCTGGCTAATTTTTTTATTTTAGTAGAGACAGTGTCTCACTCTTGCTTAGGCTGCTCTTGAACTTCTGAGTTCAAGCGATCCTCCTGCCTTGGCCTCCCAGAGTTTTGTGATTATAGGCATGAGTTGCCACACCCAACCAACGTCCCTCACTTCTTTTTGAGAAGTAAAACTCACGTTCTGTTTTTGTTAGTTTTTTAACTATAAACTGTCTCCATTTGGTATTTCCCCTCTCTCACCAGCAAAAACATTTTCCTTCTTCATAAGGTATTCTAACCTATTACCAAGTGTTGTACATTGCTATGTTAATTAATAAAAAAACCTTTGAAACAAAGCTTTCAGCATAGCCTTTCCTGGAACTTGAGGAATGGACTCTTTAGGGCTGGAGCTGTGGCAGTAGTGATTGAGTGAGAGGTGCTGTCTCCTGTACAGGCTTTTCAAAGTCACATCAGGTTATAAGCATGACACTAAAAACAGTACTCTTGGGAGTACTGCTATAATACCAGGTCTCAGGAATGTGTTGGTGGGTGTTCTGATTGGGTCACAGATTTGTGAAAGCCATACCCAGGTCATTGGACGGGGCAATTTTTAGTTTACTTGTTTTGAGACTATTTCTTCCTCATTACTACTGATTTGGTGACTTTTGCTTATGAGGGTAGTCCTGAGAATTTCCTTGAAGTGGTCACTTGTTAATTCATGATTTCATTAGTCAAGATAATGTATTTGGATGTCCTACCAATGTCCAATATTACTTTGCAGTATGTTTTTTAGTAGTTCTTGCTACCTTCACTTGATTTAGCACTTTGCCATCTGCTTCTCCAGTTTAACTGGGATAATGTTTGTGCCTGAGCTTACTGAGTACATGCCATCCATGTCTGTATTTCTGAGTCCTTGTCTTCATTTTCTTTTTTTGGCCCAAGAAACTAGAGGTGCTTGTCTTCCTCTTAACAAGTCTTTGTTAAATGATAACAAAGAGCACATATGGAGCCCACAGCTATAAGCTTTAGTTAGTAAAGTGCCTTTGCGGCATATTTTATATGACTGGGCAAAGGAATTTTGATGATGCAAGAAAATGGCAAAATGTGGTAGATTTAAGCATTTAACAAGTTTACTGAAGTATTTCTTGAGCACTTTTCACATGTCTTAGTACTCTTTTAGTTCTTATGTGGAAAATAGGATATGGAACTGTCATTTTTTATGCCTGCTACCTATTGGACACTCATTTAACTGTCACTTCAATTTTTTAGGAAAGGTATTATAAACCCCATTTTATAGCTGAGAAAACTGTGGGTCCTGAAGATTAAGTTGCTACTCATAGGTGACTGCTCCTTAGTACTTGAGGATTTAGGTTGGAAGTTTCTTTGGGTCCTATGCTGTTGCCTAAAGAAAGTTAGGGATATAGGGCTGGAAGGACATCCTAACTTAATAGGGAATACCCTGAAAAAAAGTATCAGTGGTATGGAAATATAAAAATTATATTTTATAATTTTTAAGACTAATCTAAATTTTTATTTTAATATGATATAAATAAATGGAACTGTTTTATAATTAGATATATACATGTTTATGTATTCTGTCATAACTGCAGATATTTCAGAATTAATTATTTACATGCTTCTCTAAAATTATGTTCATGAAAATTTCACCTTAATTTTCTCCAGTTAGAATTAAGGGTTCCCTGCTTTATATCTCCACAGAGCAATGTATCAAAATTCATATTCCACATTCTGCTTTTTGAAAGTGTTCCTTCTGGAGGGTAGGAGGACTGTGTTATTCATCCTTATTTCTCTTCAGTATTTATAAAGTTGTTTGTGTATTTTAGGTAGATTCTAAGTAAAATGAACCTTTACAAATGTTATGGTTATATAGAGAGAAAGAAAACTCATATAATTTTGATGCAGCAGAAGCAAGAGGGAATTAGTGGAAATGGTTGTTTTTGAAGAGTTTGTCCTATCACAGTGGCTATGTATTAAAAAGCTAGCTGTGTCCAACTAAAGGATAGGCTAAAAGAAAATTTGCCACAATTAAATTTTTGGAATTTTTTGTTTGTTTCCTTCTTTTTTAGAGACATTAGAAGAAATGGACAGTGAGTTGCTCAAGTGTGAATTCTGTGGGAAAATGGGATATGCTAATGAATTTTTGCGGTCAAAACGATTCTGCACTATGTCATGTGCCAAAAGGTATTTCTGTGCTCTTGAATTTCCTAAAGGGATAAACCAGCAATCACTACAGCAAAACCAGAAAACCCTTGGATATTTTACCATCACACCTAGATATTATGATATAGATGAATAATATAAATAGGCATTATCTGGAGCTACTTTGGTGTAGTTATAATATAAAAACTAATACTTCATAACACTTAAAATCAGTTTCACAGTATAATCTAATATTAAGGTAGCAATCCCCTAGTGGTAAGAATATGCTTAGGAGCATCTCTTCAGTGAAATGACGAGGATATTATAGAATACTAATCCTTAAAGGATTGAAACCAATATTTGTTTTATCAATATTGAAATACCTGGATTTACTTTGTTCAGTTTTAAAGTGTTTTCATTGGTTTGAACTGTATCCTATTTATTTAGATTTCTAAATGGGACAGCTATAGCATAAGTTCCCCACATTGTTAACATTACCAGACAACAAAATACCTGTCTCTTCTGAATTAGTATTGTTAATAGTAATTATAATAATAATAATTATTATTATTATTTGAGACAGAGTCTGGCTCTGTTGCCCGGGCTAGGGTGCCGTGGTGTCGGCCTAGCTCTCATAGCAACCACAAACTCCTAGGCTCAAGAGATCCTCCTGCCTCAGCCTCCTGAGTAGCTGGGACTACAGGCATGCGCCAGCATGCCCAGCTAATTTTTTTCTCTATATATTTTTAGTTATCCAGCTAATTTCTTTTATTTTTAGTAGAGACGGGGTCTTGCTCTTGCTCAGGCTGGTCTCAAACTCCTGACCTTGAGCGATCCTCCTGCCTTGGCCTCCCAGAGTGCTAGGATTATAGGTGTGAGCCACCACGCCTGGCCTGTTAATAGTAATTATTATAGGTAATAGTATTAATAGCAAAAGAAATGTTTAGTCTTTATTAATCTTGTAATTGCCAAGTTTACTCTACATTTTAAAAAACTCACTCTGATTCTGATAGTAAATCCTAATAGTATAGATATTTATCACTGAAGTTGAAGTGTATGCACAAATTGATTATTTTGAAATTTGTTTCTCTGTTCAAAAAAATGATTATTCTCTCAAAGAATTTAAAATCTTGATTGTATACACATCCAGGGAATTTCTTGCTTGAACATTTTATTTTGTATGGATGCTTCCAAAATATACTTATGTTAAGTAATAGAAGTGTTTTCCTCCAAAGGTGAATTCATTGTTTCAGTTGTCAATCTGTTGTTCGGATATGTTTGATGTAATAATGTACCTATAATCAAATTACAAAACTCATATGTTAACTTGAATTTTCTAGTTTGCATATACTACAAGAAAGAACAGTGGCTGTCTGATTCTAAGTCATTAAAAACTGAAAACTTGAGAAAAGGACTGCCTTTCAGAGTATTTGAAATTCCTTGACTATTTAGAAATATTTCAGGACATTTAATGTTACCATCCACTCTTCTCCCGTAGATGAGTTGTCGCATTACTATTCCTTTAGGTGAGCCTTTCTAGCAGGTTAGGGGTGCTAACATAGAAAATGTGGATGAGAGAGCAAGGAGGGAAGGATGAATTAAGGGAGGGAAGAACTGCTGGTATTTATGTATCTGCTTAGCTATCTTCAATAGCTAAATATTTAGGGTCTAGATATCAAGTATAAAGCTAGTTTCTTCTCTGTTCTTGTCTCAATGGGTAAAGAAGTTTTGTCAGTTGATATAAATGGAAAAAAGAAATGTATACTGCTGAGCCCACAAATAAGCACATAATAAACACAGCAAGAGCTTGTTGAATTGTTTTAAGGTTATAGAGTAAAATGAAGTGGCCATCAGGACACTTATACTGTTATAGGGAAAATAGCCTATTCATTCTCATAGAACTCCTTATTGCCATCTCTTGATATTTTCATAAAATGTAGGTGAGGAAAAGTTATTTTGATGTCTGCATGTTGGTCCGAAAATAGATATCAATAGTAGTATTAATTGGGATTTATCCTTATACTTCTCTTAGAGCAAAAGAGGTTTTAAAATAAGTTACAGAGGCAGTTTCATATGTGTAAATAAAGAGGAACTGCATATATTTTGCTTAACTTTTCCATAGCTTTTCAGAAATTTGTTTCTTAAATAATTTCTTTTCACTTTTCTTTCTAGGGAGGGGTTAGCATACTTACACTTGCCCAGGCCAGGTCCTTCTTGCTGCTTATTTTTCGTATGGCCCTTGAGCTAAGGATGGTTTTAAAATTTTTAAGTCGTTGGAAAAAAATCAGAACAATATTTTGTGACATGAAAATAATGTGGAAATTTATATTTCAGTGTTGCTGAAAGTTTTACTGGGACATAGCCTTGCTTATTCAATATTTTCTATGGCTTTCACACTACAATGGCAGAGTTGGGTAGTTGTGATAGAGACTTGTATGGCCCACAAAACCTAAAATATTTACTCTATGGTCCTAATAGAAAATTATGCCCATTCTTGTTCTAGTGCTTTGGAACCCATTAAACGGCATAGGACTCTTTTACGCTGTCACTATGCCTTATAAATGTCTATGTTCAAAAATATTAGCCAATCTATTTCGCTAAAAGAAAAAGTAATCTTTCAGCCAATTTAAAATAATTATATACTTCTGAGTTTCCTGAATATGGGAGCAATGAATTCCTTGTTTAACTTTTAATATCTCTTTAAAATCTCTACTTCACATTTTTACTCTTTGAATTTAATAATATTTGGAAACTCTTTTACAAGCTGCTTGAGATCCTCCCCCTACTATATTCACCTCTTTTTATTAATCTTTCTTTGGAAGTTATTAATTGGAAAAATATAAGTTTGAATAAACATCTAAATAGTTACTGCATAGCTTCTTTTTCTCCTGAAACCCTGAATAATTTTTGCTGTGATGGAAATTGGTTATCCTCTGTAGTTTGCAGAAAGTTTCCCATTGTCATTCTATAATCAGGAGAAAATACCAATATCTTGTTACAGATGTCTAGTATTATAGTAAGAGATATATTATATACACAGAGGCCATTTTTTGACCTTTAGCATAAGTAAATACATTGAACAATATAGTTTATGAGGTATTACAATCATTATTGACATATTTGGTACTTACCAGTTCACAGTTATACTTTAAAGTCATAGTTAAATACTAAATGGAGTGTCCCATGTATCATTTAATTTTTTTTTTTTTTACTTGAATTTCTTAGGTACAATGTTAGCTGTTCTAAAAAATTTGCACTTAGTCGTTGGAATCGTAAGCCTGATAATCAAAGTCTTGGTCATCGTGGCCGCCGTCCAAGTGGCCCTGATGGGGCAGCAAGAGAACATATCCTTAGGCAGGTCTGTAGAAACCTTGCTTCACTGTACAATACCCTTTTCAGAAATGCAAGGAAAGTGCAATGCTGTATTTTACTTGTACTACATTTTCCAGCTTCCAATTACTTATCCATCTGCAGAAGAAGACTTGGCTTCTCATGAAGATTCTGTGCCATCTGCTATGACAACTCGTCTGCGCAGGCAGAGTGAACGGGAAAGAGAACGTGAGCTTCGGGATGTGAGAATTCGGAAAATGCCAGAGAACAATGACTTGCTACCAGTTGCACAAACAGAGCCATCTATATGGACAGTCGATGATGTTTGGGCCTTTATCCATTCTTTGCCTGGTATGTAATTTATCACTTTGGTCTTAATATTTTTCTTGTGCCTTCACACAGAAGAATGATGTTAGATCCATCCACACCTTTTGCACAAAAGGGCTAGAGAAGTACTGTGTGTATGTACGACTTAAATGGCATTTGCTATTGAAATGTGATCTGTTTCCTCTTGCTTATTCCCTCAGCACAACTGGGTATTTTCTCATACCCCCCCAAGTCGATAAAAACTGACTAGTCCTGCTTCTGCCGTGACACCTCAGCTGGTGAAGATATTAAAGGTGCTCTCTTCTCTTCAGTCTGATTTCTCTCGAGAGGTCAGTAGAGAGATTGAGTCAGACACTTCTTCCCTTCTGCTCTTCTATTTTTCTATTCTATTCTTATTTCCTAATTTAACCTTTTTAAAAAATTGAAATAAGAGAGGCTATATTTTTTCTTTACATTTTTGAAAGCTAATCAAGACCTTTTAGAATATAGTTAACTTTTTCTTTTTTTAAAAAAAATCAAGCTAGTTCTTTTAATGGAAGCTGCACTCTTAGATTCTTTTCAATAAGTAAACATGAAGAGCCCTTCTGAAATTTTATTTTTCAAGTAGACAGCTGAAATTTAGTTGTGGTATTCATTCTAATATTGAGGGTAACTTTCTTATTTATGTTTTCTTGTTCTAACTCTCATTTGGATACTCTTTCCATCAACTTAAGTCTCTATCTTTTTTCTTTAATACAACAATAATCTTTTGTATCTACTTTCTCAAAAGGGCTAGCTACTAAAGACAGCTACACCTTTGCTCATGATGAGACCCACACTGGTTATATATGTTAAGACATATATTTAAATTTTTTTAAATTAGCAAATCTTATCGTTCACTTTGACCTTTTGAATACGGAAAATGGGGAGTTTTAAAAAAATATTTTTGTTCCCTTTGGTATTATTGTGAATTATACCATTTCTCTTGATACAAGCTTTCCAGAAGAATATATCCCATTTGAGCTTGTCTACCAGACTTATTAAAATTAAGGTAATTAATTATTGTTGGTAATTAATCTTTCTGTGAAGGAAACTAAAGTTTCAGATGCAAACTTGTAGTTAGTATGCTGTGCAAGAAAATATATTCAGAAATAAGAGTTTAAAAAAATCTGTCACCAATTTTTACCTCATATACAGAACTCAATGAAATTTTATTAAATTATTTTATCAGTATCTTGTTTTAGAAGTGCTAAATAATTTTAAAAGAAAACAAAAATACAGTCACTTTTGAAGAAAGGTGGAATTGTTTAAAGTGGGAATACTTTCTTTGTGGGAAGATTTTAACCATGCACCTAAGAAAACTTAGGTCTGAGTTAATTGGTGACCAGGTGGGTTTTTAGAATCTGCTTTAAACTTGATGTATTAGAGGATGGTGAATCTTCATTGGCTGTAGTTTAAATATTTATGAAACATTTTAGTTTTTAGACCAGTGTACCTATTTTGAGAATTAACATTGGAGTCTATATTGATCACCTGGGACTGGACTCTGATTCTGTCATCTTCGGAAGTAGTTTCAATCTTTCACGTGGGGCATGTGGTTTGCCTGTGAGCCTGATTTCTCATTTAGGGGAAGTATTTCTTTTCCTTTGGGGAGAAGAGTTGGTTTATATCCTGAGGAAAGTAGTTGCCCAAATAATTAACAAATGATGGTGCTGATTCTTCCATCACTTTGTATGGTTCTTTTAGGGCTCATTTTCCCCAGCATCCATTTGCCACGTGGCTACTCTTGGCTGCTTTATTAGAACAAAGGCTAATTCCTTTGTCTCATTCTTGCTTCATTTAAAAAATGCAGCTTATTATCACTTATAACTTGAGATGTTTGTTTTATTGAATTCATCTAGACAATTTTGTTGTCAGTTGGTTAGAGAACATTACATTTCACAAAAAAGAGACTACTGTTGTATAATTTAGAATTATATGGTACTGTTTTAGAATCTGCTTAATATAACTTTTTCTTTACTGATGAAATGGGAGTGTTTCTAAACTGCTTTGACAGGCCAAAATAAGCTTATTTGTATGTTTAGTTATATTACCTTTTTTAAAGTTTTCTCTGAACAGTGCCTATAGCTTAAGGTAAATCTCATATCAGAAAATGCCTTATATTCATTTCTTTCTGCTCCTCTGGACTTTATAAATTTCCTTTTGTGCTTCTTTCAGCTCATTTAGGGCCATTTGTTTTCCCTGAGTAATCTCCCAGGTTTTTCTCATAGAATGAACAAACTTGTAAAGTTTATAATCTTGTAAAATTTGTTTCTTTCCAGTTAGGTGTCCTTCCCTCTTTAATCAGGGCACCTATATTGACTCCTCCAATTTTCCCTTCTCTTTGTGTATCATCCTAATGGGACTATGTTAGAGCTTGTATGCAAAGTATGCTCAAATCTCAGAGCTGTTACAAGAATGAAAAATTACTGTCTTCTAATTTTTTGCGCATTAAAAAGTTCTCTACAGGAACAATTCTTATTTTCAGTCAACTACAGGTTGTCTTATTTAACTCTTCCTTGATAAGGTGAACTCTCTTTTACAAAGATCATTTTATCCTATATTTATTGACCTGTGAATCCACAGATTTCTCTGTAGGTATATGAAGTGGGAATTATTTTTTTAAAATATAACTATTTACTGGTTTTTGTAATACCAGTATTGGGACTTGTTTATTCTGTAGTCTTGGGTAGCAAGTGCTATCTTTTCACAAACTTCACTGAGGTCAGTTTTTGTGCAGGGTGTTTGGAGTTTAGCTGGAAAAGTGACTTTGGACACTTGTGAAGTTCAGTTGGGACTTATGTACAGAGGTCCAGGTGACCATACTGAGAGCTACACTGCACTTGCTTTTGTTGAGGTGAAGCTAGTTGAGTTGACTAGTACTTCAGTTAGTGTGTATGTTTTATACACGTCCCTGGGCTCTAGCCATTTTACAGAAGTAGCTGTTAATGTCAGAAACTTACAGAACGGTAGCCGAGTATACCTTGAGCACTTAAAAATTTTTTTTAAATATGTTTTTCTCTAATGAGTTTCTGGAAGCATACTTTTGCTTTTATTTTTTTGGAAGTCATTTTCTCATTTCAATACTAATGTTAACTGCACATTTTTTGTGGTTGGCCTAAAAAAGTTATGATCTAAAATTCTGATGATAATGCATCCTTTTCTTTTTCTCATTAAGCTTCTTCCATTCTAGGAATTACATTCCTATTTGATCATGCTGTTTCCCAAAACACTTTTTTTGTTTTTTATTATTTTGCTAATACACTTACTGTCCACCTACAAGAAGGCATTTGAAGAGGAATTTTACAATACAGAGGAATAAGAACATAATATGTATTTTCCTCATGGAGAACTCCTTATTTCTGTTCCCAAATGTAGCTCTTATGGTCCTCATTACTTCTCATTGCTCCTGTTTTCTGAATCTAAGCCCTACCCTCTCTTTCTCTCTTTTCTTTTCCTTCTTGTGTTCTTATAAGTAAGACTGAAGAGAGAAGAACATTAGTTCTTTCATAAAAAGAAGGATGAAGTCACAACTAGATGCAAGATTAGTCAGTTTTGTCTACCCAGTTTTGTTGAGAGCTACCTCTGGGAAAAGAAAAGGGGCTTTTCTGTGGTGAGTAATCCCATTTCAACTGTGTAGTTTCTTTTATATGGTAAATGGGCAAAAGCATAAAAATTTTGTAGAGAGTATTGAAATGTCAGTTTTTAGAAGTCTGAGAAATTATTAAAATGGAAATTGAAAAGCTGGCTACTGTATAGGAAACAGTAAAGATACAACTAACAGAGGACATGGGAAAAGAAATAAAACCAAGAAAAAAGATGGCCACATAACTGAACCAAGGAAAAAAATGTTTGTATTACTCTTACAGGTAGCTCTTTTGTGGCAGATTATTTTTTTTGTATACTATTTATTCACTCATTCAGTCCTTCACTTATTCATAAATATATATATTCACCACCTATAGTGCTTTGTGCTTAGTGCTGGGGTTATAAGGGACACATCATTATCTTATATAAACAGGAGGGGGCTATATTTGTAATAGAAAGGATAATCATTCTAGCAGTATTGTGATATCAAAAGTATTAATATAATATAACCATTTTCATTTTTCATTATCTTTTTATGTTTTCCCTTTGAATGCTGATCTGAGTAAAAAAGACTCAAGCTATTAGTTTTTATTCTTAAATTTATTTTTATAATGTTAGTGTCTCATAAGGAAGCCTCCATTTTTACATTCTCTCCTCTCTTGGCTCCTTAATTCATTACCTTCCCAGTTGGTTTCTTTACCTTTAATGGGGAAGTTTATTGAGTAACCTGGACATGCAAAATTTGGTAGGCAGTTAAAACATTTGGGGTTCAGGTAGATACAAGCACTGTTACTTGCTAAAGCACCTGGTTCGGACTGAGAATTTAAATATTGGTTATTTGGCAGGAGATTATTCAGCAAGCTCATAATTCCAATGAGAATTTTTATTACTAAAAGTGGAGATGAGTCCAGTGATACTAAGATCTGAAGTTGAAATTACAAGTCGAGCAACACAATATATTTATTTCAGTAGTATTGCAATAGATCGATGCTATAATTTTGAGGGATTTTTTTCTGTCCTGCATGAACAATAAAAATATTTTAGATGTGCTTGGCAATTGAAGTTCAGAAATTAGAATAAGGTACAAATGACATTGAAAGTGGTACTCTGATGCTTGAGGAAATATTTCTAGATTGTTATTTAAATGGCAGAATATTATATGTTATTCTTCTCTACCTATATGTGAAAGATATATTATACAAAGATGAGTTTATGAGATACAATAACTAGTTAACTCAAACCTGTTATATGTGTGGAATGCTTTGGGATGGCATTATAGTCTTTTTCAAGCAAGAAATATATATAGACTGAGAGGTTTGTGCATTTTTACCTGACTCTTACTAATTATTTCTGTAGTATTGTTTTTAGAGAAAGAATTCCAAGCATATTGTTTTAAATGGAATTTGAATTAATTCTTATTTTCAGAATGCCAACAAGAACTGTCTTCTTCAAGAGTAAGTCCAAGACTACCATAAATAAATTTCATTTGTTTCTCAGCCTGTATTTCAGATTCTCAGATCCAGTGAGAGCTTGACTGTGACTGTTAGGAGTAATGTCTGATTGTTGATATTTAATTCTAATTTCCTTTCTCTGATCAAATTCCAGGCTGCCAGGATATCGCAGATGAGTTCAGAGCACAAGAGATTGATGGACAGGCCCTCCTCTTGTTAAAAGAAGACCATCTCATGAGTGCAATGAATATCAAGTTAGGCCCCGCCCTAAAGATCTGTGCACGCATCAACTCTCTGAAGGAATCGTAACAAAAACATGAAGCTGTGATGTAACAGCAATTTTACTCCTCTCAAGCTGACTTGTAAGGTAAAGGCCTAAGTTGGCCTAGAATATTACACTTATTATGGTGGATAGCCAAGCACATTGGGATCTCTGCATCAAATGCTGACATTTCTTCTACAGATATAATAATTCATCATACATTTCATAATTAACCAACGTCAATGAAATTAATTTTCCAGGTTACATGCAACATTGAAAGACTTGCTATAGAGGGCCATGATATTTTTCAAAGAAATGTGTTATACTAGATAATTTTTTTAAGGGTGATGTTTATCATTAATATAAAGAATCCTTTTAAATGTAATTTAATGATTTACATTTCTTCTCTTTGATTTGGTGTTCTTATACATTTTTCTACCCTACTAGTTTTTTAAAGGTTGTTATAAGAGATATGTTATGGAATAATTTAGGAGTCCAGTGACAGAATTGTATGCAATGAAATCAAGTGTGCATTTAAAAAAAAACATATCTTACAGACAAATGCTTTGTCCATAAAAAAGAGATTGTGTTTTACCACAAACAATACTGATCTGGAAGTCAGAAGAGTTGGTTTCTGTTCCCAACTTGACCAAGAGTTTGGGTTAACTGAGAAAGTTAATTTTCCTCTTAGTTTTTGTACATTTAGAGCAGTGGTTCTCAATGGAGGTCAGTTCTGCTCCCCAGGGCACATCTGGCAATGTCTATAAACATTTTGGGTGTCCCAGCTCGGGGTTCAGTTCAGGGGAGGGTTGTTACTGGTGTCCAGTAGATGGAGGCCAGAGATGTTGCTAAATATCCTACAGTACACAGGATAGCCCTCCACAACAAAGAATTTTCTGATCCAAAATGTCAGTAGTGCCAAGGTTGAGAAACCTTAATGTAGAAGAAGTGATAAATGCTGTTCTTTTTCACCCAAAGGGATATAGTTAAAAGGTGAGGCATAATAAGGAATAAATAGACAATTGAAGTACTATTCAGAGAGCATTAATATTCTGAATTTTTTCCAGTTTTACATATACTAGAAAAAGGGGAAAAACCCCATAAAATTGGCCCATCAAATAAGGACTAACACTTATTTGCCTAACAAATAAATTGACTCTCAGAACATACTGATTCATATTAATTATCTTTCATATGTCTGTGCTCCTCTGCACTGATGAAGGCATAATATGATTATACCTATGAACCAGTGCACAACCTTTTTTGGTACAGAAATAGTTTGTAGCGGTATGTGGTTGCTCTTTGGATTTGTTTTCTAATGTTGAACATGCTGGGTCTAGCTAGAATGCACATTCTGTTTTCCTTTAATAAACCCTTGCATGCTTCCTCAAAGTACTTACCAAGTGATTTCTCTTAGATGGTCAGATCTAATTTTTTATGTACATGTTTTAGAGAAAAAAATTTTATTAGAGCAAAACCTTTCACTGAACAGTGTTTCATAGAATTATGACACTAAAATAAAATTGTGGGAGCCCTGAGAGCATTATAGTCCTGGACATCAAAAATTTTATTTGAAAAGATTATGAAGGTTTTGTTTTAATCTTTTCTTATATCTTTACCATATTATTGAGATATTTTAATAATTAAAGGAACATACATGGATATTTGGCAGAAGTTCATTTAAGTGGGGAAAAAAGAGTCCATGAGTTTCAGTCATTTTCACTGCTCTTTTCAAAAAGATTATGTTGAGCTAGTAGAAGACTAAAGATGTCCCTGAAGACATCACAGATATTATATTTATCTTTTGGCTTTGTGTACATTAGAGAATGTTGATTATTTTTATACAAAAATACAGCGGGTAATTTTTTTAATCTTTAGATGCCTCTTGTTTGAATGTATGCTTTGTGGGATTCTTTGTGTAGTAATGTTTCAAAAAAAGATGTTTACTGATAGTTATGTGTAGGATTAGAGTATGTAATATAAGGCTCATGTTCCAGACCTACAATAGCTTGTAGTCTATGTTACATATCACATTTTTAATTATTGGATTAAAGTTCCAAGGAAAGCTAGGTATTCTATAATCAGTTTTCATTTATTAGCAGTTAATCATTGTGACAGAGCTTATGCAAGTCATATGCTTGACTTTCCCCCTCATCTTGAAATTTCAGAATACAAATAATAGCTAAGCATTAATAAGAGGTGGCCCACTGGGTATGAGAGAGGGAGGCACAAAGGAAAATCTCCCCTGGTATTAAAACTACTCATACATTATCCATAATGAATACAAAATTGATTATTTGGGGATAGATTCTAACAGTAATAATTACTTCCCACAACTATATTATCTATGGCCTTTAACATATTAATTTTGAACTACGTTCTAGGTTCTTCTTTTATTTACTCCCTTCTCCTAATGTCAGTCATTTTATATTTATTGAAAGCCCCTGTGCCTAGGACTGTCTTAATAGTCAGGAGAGGCTTACAAAAGGGGTTTCTATTGGAGAATACTGTATAACCTTAAATTTTACAATCTTAAAACTAGTCCAAGTCTTTTGTTGTTCCCACTTGAAACATACCCAGAAAATGCACTTACTTTTTTTTAAGTGAGAAGTTTTATTTAGAAATGGTTCATTTGCTATTCATTGGTAGTTCTCCTACTTTTGTAGCTATTTCTTTCTAGATGATTCAATCATCTTAATTTCAAAGCTTAAATTATATATAATGGCTATATAGATAACACTGGGTATCCACCTCTTTCCTGAGCTTTAGGCATAGTTTCAGTATGATATAGGTGGGGAGAGTATGATTATTTTCATTTCCTTTCATATTCATAATTGTTTTGAGATTTTGAAGAGAGGTAATGACAAACAGAAATGGAACATGGGAGTTTCTACCTATTTTTGCTACCTACGTTTGTATTTTCTGACTTCTTTAAACTGTTGCACTCTTTTCCCATTGGGGGAAAAAACCCGTTATGTTTGAAATTTTATTTGCTTTAAGCCTTATGTTCCTAGGAAGTTAAATAACTGAGAGCTGGTTTGTAAAAATTATTTTTTATGTGACATTAATATTCATCAAGCCTTGTGTAGGCATGTGTAAGACACAGCTATGCATCTTTGAATAATCAGTGTATTATGAGACAGACTGTTGTCCTCAAACCTGTCACCTTTTGTCACCAATAGTTGTGGCATATAACTATTTTCCTGATGGTACTTTTAATTTACTGTGGAATCCTCTAAACCTGTGGTCCCCAAGCCCCAGGCCATGGACTGGAACTGGTCTGTGGCCTATTAAAAATTAGGCTGCACAGCAGGACATGAATGGCGGGCAAGCAAGCAAGCAAAGCTTCATCTGTATTTACAGCCGCTCCCCATCGCTCACATCACTGCCTTAGCTCTGCCTCCTTTCAGATCAGCAGTGGCATTAGATTCTCATAGGAGCATGAACCTTACTGTAAACTGCACATGTGTGGTATCTAGGTTGTGCGCTCCTTTTGAGAATCTAATGCTTGATGGTCTGAGGCGGAGCTGAGGCAGTGATGCTAGTGCTGGGAATGGCTGCAAATACAGATTATCATTAGCAGAGAAGTTTGACTGCACGATAAATGTAATGCACTTGAATCATCCCCAAACCATCCCTACCCCCACCCCTGTCTATGGAAAAATTGTCTTCCATGAAACTGGTCCTTGGTGCCAAAAAGGTTGGGGACCACTGCAAACAGAACTTTTTCTTTTTAGTCCCAGTTTAAGAGCTGTCACCCAGGAGTACAGAAGGTGGAATGGGAGGAAAGAAATGTTCATGAAGAAGCTTGAGAATGGGAAAGAGGCAGACAAGGAGACTCTGCCATTCTTGTTAGTTTAGAACCCCATTTCAAAACTGAACAAATTTCTGCACTTCTGAGGTGAATATTCATGCTTTGCCTGGTTTAAAATAGAAACAATTTTATTATTAGGCATTCCACTGTTTATTTTTGTTTTCTGGTGTGTTGAAACACTTAAAACTGTGTGAAACAAGTATTATGACCATGCTTTGATAACTTTTGACATGGCTAATTTTCATATATTAAGCATAAAATTATAATCAGCTATCTATTCAGAAATATAAGCCTTAGCTTGAAATCTGTTGTAGTGCCTCTCACTACTGGCTTGTTCAATTAAATGTTTTAAAGTCCATTATTTACATTTTCAGGGTTTTGGTTACCGCCATGGCACAAGTATGGAATGGGGGCCATATAGGCATATAGTCTTAGACTATATGCTTATATTTTATGTGTATAAGCAATTTTTGAAAGAATAAACCATTATATTAATAGATTGGTCTGAATGATGCTGACCTTACAGCCATATCCAGTGGATGAAATCCCTGACTGGACACATGGTTAAAATGTTTTAAAGATATATTTTCAACCAGAACAGCCTGGTTATATTTTGTGATTTAAAGACTCTCACCCTTGGTGAATTGCAGAAACACATACAGCCTACTGGCATTGAGCATTAGCTAATGGCATGAAAGGGCCTCACTCAGCTATCTTCCCTAAGGCCTCTGACAGCCCCAGGAAAACTGCATGAAAACTTTCTTCTTAGAGAGGCCTTTTCCTGAAAATCCTTAGAAGGATTTTGTGTGAAGGCTAATTTTAGGGAAGGAGGCAGCTGGGGCAGGAGTGTCAAATACCTAACAGTCATGTTTCAGTAAAACCTTTGGGTAGTGGAAACTGGCCCATGTATGCAAAATGTTTGCTCAGTCTGTTTCTGGTGCACCACATATGTATCTAGGGCCCTGAGGAAGGTTTTCTGGGGAGGGTAGAGGAGTGGAAACAAATAGGAAAACAGAAGGAAGGTAGAGGGTAGAGAAGGAAACAAATAGGAAAAGCATTCCAGACCCAAGAGGATAGCACAATTAACTAGGCAAAGGTGTTTAGCATAGATATGGCCTTTACCAATATTTCAAAATAATAAATTATAATTGTTGGATCCCAGTTATAGCAATAAACAGATTATAGTTTATATATGTCAAGACTTACCTGTAGTCAAACTCATCCTTTCACTCTCTTTATCAAGTGACCCTGTCCTTAGGAGCATGGCTATTAATAGTTCCAGTGATACACAAGCTTCTGGTTTTTGACTTCTGAAAAAGGTGACAACTATTATGGTTGGAGAAAATTTGTCAAAAATTCAAAGGTTGTTAAAATTGAGTTGTCAGAATTACAGAGAAGAGTTTCCATTTTCAGATACCACAGTTAAATCAACTTTGTAAATCTTTATAAAGAAAGGCATTTTAAGATCATACTTTATTTGTTAGGTTGTATCTTAGTCTGAGAATTGGGTGACTAAGAGTTATAGGTTTCTCTTTTCTAGTCTGGATTTCAGTAGACACAAACCTACCTCTGTTTCTTTGGTGCATGGCAGTGTGGATCATGAAATGAACTGTTTACTCACATTCATCAAAATTGGTATTTTATAAATCTATTTAGAGAATTTGATTTCAACTCAAAGATTGTGATTCAATATAGATAAGAACAAATACAGTGTTAGGAAAAGTATATATGCAATCTTACTAAAATTTAATTTCAACTTGTTAAGCTATACATCTTTAAAAAAATTGGGAAGATATTTGTTAGAAGTTCATAAAGTGCATCACTATATAGTTTCCTTCATAGTAATATAAACCATTTCTCCAAAAAATGTTTAAAATTAGATTACCTTCTTTGGAAAATATGTTTCCTAAATTTTTAAGAATTTTCAAAGCTTTGCATATTATTTTTTAGAACTTATTTAATATATTTTAAAATTATGCTATGAGAGAAGGGTTTTTTGAAAGTTGTAAATCACTAATACAAATATAATTATTACCATCATATTCTGGAGAAAAACATTTGGCTTTTTCTGAATTTTCACTGTGGTAAACATAACATTAAAAGGGAGTCCATGCCCTCCTTTTTAGATCTGGAGCCCAGCTTCTTTAATGCAAACTCTTTTATTCTACTTAAACACACACACACACACACACCCCTCACAAGTGTCATGTTTAAGGAAACTTTCAGGAAATGCTTTCCACAAATGTTTTATTTTTTTTCCCATTTTATATAACTTGTGAACATTTCATTGTACTTAAAGATGACAATTTTAATCTGAAATGTTAGAGGAGGTACAAAAGTTCCAGCTAAAAGCTTTAGACCCTAAAAAAAACGATTTTTTTCTACTGCCTTTTGAAGCTATTGCACTCAGTGATAAGTGATATTGGTGCTGTTCAGTATGAATCCATAGAAAGAAAACAAAATGTGTTGTTTAAAACAAATACAGTAATGAATGAATTTTAATTTAGAAAAAAATCAACAACATTTTAAAATACCTATTATGCTAACATGGCATAATTTTAATTAAATATAAGAGTAAAGTACTAAGTCCTTTTAGACCACCCATTTAACTTTACTTCAGTAATCATCTTAAGGATTGATGATTGCCATTATTTAATGGCCTAAAATGTATACTTTATGGAATGTAATCAGTGTTAAGTCCATGTTTTGTGGAGCTTTAACTGACAGTGATGAAAGATAGTGTTTATGAGAGTGGTGGGGCTTCTAGTCATCAGTGAAAAAAATCAACCTATTTTAGAAAGAATTTTTTAGTCTTGTCTCAAGTATACCCTAAGTGTCCAGTGTTTAAAATGTTTGTTCAGAATGCTTGTCTGTTTTTTTAAGAGACAGGGTCTTGCTCAGCCATCCAGGCTGGAGTGCAGAGGTGCAATCATAACTCAATACAGCCTCGAACTCCTGGGCTCAGGTGACCCTCCTGCCTCAGCCTCCCAAGTAGCTGGGACTACAGGTGCACACTACCACGCTCGGCTAATTTTTAAATTTTTTGTAGAGATGGGGTCTTGCTGTGTTACCCAGACTGATCTCAGTCTCCTGGCCTCAAATAGTCCTCCAACTTTGACCTCCCAAAGTACTGGGATTACAGGTGTGAGCCACCATGCCTGGCCAGATGTTTGTCTTAAAAAGTATTCTTTTTCTTTGTTTTGGATAGTATTAAATAATGAGTAAATAATCTATTAATACTTTAATAGTAAATAA